CCGATTTCAAAGGGGCATACTTTTAAATGATTATGGTTCAATTCTATAAAGATCTGTGTTTAATTCTTGGTTTGAATATTTGGGTCGATTTTCCGTCATTTTCGAAAAATTGAATTTCAAAAACAGCAACACCCTGTTACAAATAACAGAAAAACAATATAGTATTTTAATCAACCTAAGAGTGATACCATATATCCATGAACAAATAAATTTATACTAAAGGATTTTTAAAGCTTAAGATCGGAAACAAATATAATATAAATATTCCGCAGTGCACGCTCCTGTTTTTAAGCCATGTGACCTGCTGACGCAATAAGCCATAATAAAAGGGCGAAGCGCGTAACATGCCCGCATTGTGCCCATTTCAAGGACAATATGATGGCATCTTGCCCCCAAATGAGGACGGGGCAAAACCAGGAGGAAACATGGCGACGATTTGCCATCTTTGGCTAGGCGTTTTACCGGCAGCCAGATAAAATTGAAATGGGGGCAAGTTACATATGAGTGCATACATTTTGGGATAAAAGTGGGTATTTTTTTGTTGGCGCTCAATCTTTACATCTTCACATGTAACCTTTCCAAATTGGTTTATTAATTAATTCTGGAACCTAGGCCAAGGATTGGGGGTCTTCCGCTTGCGCGCTGCCTCTTTCCCCAGTCACTAGTTTTTTAAATTTTATTGCACACAGCTCATTAGGACTAATGATGCTTGTTGCCTGTCAGCTTTGATTCAGATCCAGCTTACGCAGATAAAAATATTTTGAGATAGGAAAAATATTTACGCGCTTCGTAAAAATATAAATTATACACTGCTTTCGAGTATAAAAATAAAAATAAATTGGAGTATACGTTATACTACATGTTTGCCTTCTGAGTAAAAATGAATGTTTATAAATGTTTGGTATAAACATTATTTTTCCAAACATTTTCAAATTAGGAATTTTTTTTCGCTTTTGAGTCGAACGCCAATAAAATGTGCTGTTTATTTTAATGTTCATAAATATATTTTTATTTTGGTAGTTTCTTTTTTTCTTTTAAGGTTAATAATCACATGTCGGAAGATTTATATTTCTTTCGTCTCTGTGTAAAGCAACTAGAGACGAGAACCAACTCTGAGACTGTGGATGAGAAAGAGTCTGTGAGCTCAACTGATGTGACGGTAATGAAGGGCTCCAGTTGGCCTTGCATGGTATATAGTATGGGGTATGTATATCTATATATGGAAGATGTGGATGAGCCAAGGGTGTGTGCTCTTCTGTCTGCCGCTGCACTTCATTATATTTGCATGCCCAGTCGCTTTCGGTGACGAAGGTAACCAAACCAAATGGCAAAATTGAACGTGAATTTTACTGATTGACTTTCAGACAGCGCGATTTAGTTAAGAAACTAGACTAGGGAAAAGAATGTTTTTCTTGAAAAAACAAAGATGAAGAGAGCTGGTATTCTCCTTTTGATTGAGTGTAAAGAAAACAAGAGAGAACGCTATAGTCGGGTGCCCCGACTATCAGATACCCGTTACTCAGGTAAAGGGAGTGCGAGGGAGATGGAGATAGAAATTTTGATCACGCATAACTTTTTAACGAATGGTCCGATTTGAAAAATTTCTTCTACATTTCGATAGGTATTGATAAACACAATAAAACTGCATTTTTACTTTTCCGAAATATTTAAAATCGTATATAAGCGATTGTGGGCGATAAAGGGGGCGTGGCACCTTTTTGAAACAAACTTGCGCTGCGTAGGAACTCCTAGAATCTGCATGCAAAATGCCAATCTTCTAGCTTTTATAGTTTCCGAGATCTCAGCGTTCATACGGACGGACAGACAGACGGACAGACGGAGAGACGGACATGGCTATATCGACTCGGCTAGTGACCCTGATCAAGAATATATATACTTTATAGGGTCGGAAACGCTTCCTTCTAGCTGTTACATACTTTTGCACGAATACAATATACCCTTTTACTCTACGAGTAACGGGTATAAATATATATATTATTATATATATAATAATATTATATGAACAAAACTCCGAAGTATGTATTTACACTTCTAATAAGTTTAAACTATCTTTATATTTATTAGGAGCGGAACAAACATTGTGGTAAAAGTGTAATAAATTCGAAATGCGACAGCAAGCCATTACGCACTTTCAAAACGATACATCCTTGGGCACTCACGAAGCTACACTCCTTGTGTTTATCTGTTGCAAAGTGAGGAGCAGACAAACAAGCCAATGATGACACGTACCCATAAATCCCCTTCATTTTATTGCCAACGCGCTAAGCTCTGCGTCTGAGTGGGTGTGAGGTGTGCCTGTGTGCGTACGGAGTTGTGAGTGTGTGTGTTGCAGTGCGTGGGTGTGCGTGTGTGTGCCTGTGTGTCATGCGTGTGATTTGTTTTGGCGACGCAAACACACATGACACAAAAGGCAAACAGGAAACATAAAATGCCAAAAACAATTTACTTTGCTTATTTACGTACGTAAAGTATTTGCATAAATAATAAAAACAACATGCCAAAGGTCTGGAACAATAAAGAAAACACATATAATACACAAAAATAAAACTTTCGAATGATTTTACGGTGGTTTCCACCCCAGATTGGTTATCGATTATTTGTTTAAAAGTTAGTCCTTATACATATAAGGTAATAATAAAGTAAATAAATCATAATATGAACAATTTAAACGCACAGAAAATAGTTTCCTATTTGAATTCATTATAATAATGCATTATTTTCGATTTCTTAACTTAAAATATATCGATATTACAAGCATTAAATCAAACCACTTACAGAAACCACAAAATTACTCATACGCAGCGTGGAAAACGGCAGTTTATAAGTAAACAAGGGGAACCATTTCCAACATGCCCAAATGACCGCAACGGAAAGCGAATTGAGCAAATGGAGCCACTGCGCACGATAGAATCGTCAACACGTTCGAGGCAATATCCCAAAACCCCTTAGGAGCCCCACAAACTATTCTTCATTGGACTGGCCTTGTAAATATTTAAAATGCCAATAAAAGGTGGTCAAAAGCTACCTCTGAGCAACGACAATCAGCAATGATGACCCACCCATTTGCAACCTGGTGGACAATAATAGTTTTATAGCCTTCTTGTTGTTGCCACTTTTTATTTGATCTCTGCAAGATCGTTTTGTTTGGCTCACATTTAACGTTTTTAAAGAGCGACTTCTTATTCACTTAAATTCTATGGGAGCGGCGTGCATAAAATACTTGCAAAAATATTAAACGAAAATACAATCAACTTTATTTTTGTAGATTATTCTATTTTTATATTTTACAGTAAAAAAGCATAGCCCCAAATGTTTTCGAAATGTTTTCATCTCGCGTCTGCAGCATACTTATTTGTGTTTTTGTATTTACTTATTCTTCATTAAAATATCTGCCGGCAATCCACATAGTCATATATTTATTTCCATTTGGATTCTTTTTATAATGGACATCGTTAGTTGGACATTTTATCAAAATATATATTTTTTCATAATTTGTGTTTTTTCTAATTTTACATAAAATTGGCTGGGCTAAATTAGCAAAATTATTGTTTTACTTTTCAATCTTTTATTCGTTTCATACATTATTTTCCAATTTTCATACCACCAAATTTCCAGTCTCATACACATTTTAACATTTCATATCTTTGTTTATTAGTTCTAGCTTAAGTTAAAGAAGGTCCTACCCACAAAGGGCCTATCTGGAAAGTCATTAACTAAATTAAAAAGCATATTAGGTGAAACGGGCGGGGCGGTCGGATCCACCTATGTCTGAATGTTCTAAATATTTCCCTTGACTGAGAATTCAACAAAAGAGCCGAGAAGCAAAAGTTCGTTGAACCAACCAAATGGAAAAGCAAAGCAACTAAAAATGTCATAGCAGTGCGCAAGGCAAAACAAAAGGAGTAGAGGGGGCCAAGTGGAGTTGGATTTGGAGATAACTTAACTACCATTGGTAATAACAACCTGGAAAAGAGGAGGACGCGAAGGCAACTGTCTGGGCTGATGAGACATCGCACCCGATTCAGGCCCAATCAATCATAATTCTTTTCTAAATAAACGGAGTGGGCGAAGGCGACTTGAGAAATTAGACAATTTTCAAAGAAGGCGTTGCTTTTACACTGAAAAAGTGAGCCAATGCGGCATGGAGTTATTAGTTTCTAAAAGAATGTATAGAAGAAAAATTGTATCTTATTACAAACAAGAAAGGAAAGCTAACTTCGGGCGGAGCCGAAGTTGATATACCCTTGCAGAATACTCTGTAAATTATATTCTCCAAAATTATTCATATGATGCATTCTTAATACTCATAAAAAATCCCAACTTCCTAACTTTAAAAACACCAAAGTTATGGCATTTCCAATCGTTCAGTTATATGGCAGCTATAAGATATAGTCGGCCGATCCTTATGAAATTTGGTATGTCGGATTGATTGGCCAAAAATAAAACCCATAGAAAATCCCAACTTCTTAACTTTACAAACACCAAAGGTATGGCACTTCCGATCAATCAGTTATATGGCAGCTATAAGATATAGTCAGCCGATCCTTATGAAATTCGGTATGTCGGATTGATTGGCCAAAAATAAAACCCATAGAAAGTCCCAACTTCTTATCTTTAAAAACACCAAAGTTATGGCTTTTCCGATCGTTCAGTTATATGGCAGCTATATGATATAGTCGCCCGATCCGGCTCGTTCCGACTTATATACTACCTGCAATAGAAAGACAACTTTTGGGAAAGTTTCGAGCAGATAGCTTTAAAACTGAGGGACTAGTTTGCGTAGAAACGGACGGACAGACGGACAGACTGACAGACGGACAGACGGACGGACAGACGGACGGACAGACGGACAGACGGACATGGCTAGATCGACTCTCCTGGTGATGCTGATCAAGAATATATATACTTTATAGGGTCGGAAATGTCTCCTTCACTGCGTTGCAAACTTTTGACTGAAATTATAATACCCTCTGCAAGGGTATAAAAATATTAAATATACTATTCTAGCACTCCTAATATAGAATCTGTTTTTATTATTAAAGTAAAAGCTAATTTTCGCAGTGTTTAACCATCTCTCAGCCAAAAATGAAAAACATTTTCGGCTTGCATGTCAATGTAGTATTTAAACGGCAACAAAAAAATGTTTTATAATTGATGCAAAGCAATAACCAGGGCAAGAACAACAACAAGTGCTCATGACAACAAAATAAAGTTGCATTTGTAACCATAGGGAAAGTCAGGCGAGAGGGAGAAACGGCGAGCCCAATTTTACCCAGAATATTTCTGCTTTATGTCTCGTAAACAAACTCCACAAGCGGGAATGAAACTGAAAAGTCGAGGGCGTTGCCTGGCAGTTTTTCCCAGCCCCTTTTTGGGGGCGTGACCAAAATCCAGGAGCCAGAGAACATGACACGAACATCCAATTAAAGTCGAATATATTTTTATACCAAAAAATACGCACACACTCGAATGCTACTTTCGTTGATTTTAAAGCTTCTCCAGGTGTCTACAGGTGCTCAGGTGCATGCACATGGACAGACGCCTCTGAAGTGTGCCTGGATGGTCAGAGAACCGGGTGGATTTCGAATAAAGCGGAGAACAGATCAAAAAATATGGTCTCTTCGGAGTTTCCTATTTAAATATAATGCTCAATATTTGAAAGAATAAATAAATTAAAATTCCCTTAAGCCGAATAGGTTCGTGTTTTTTGGAATAGACACAGTGGCTGTTCGCTGATTCAGTTATAAAACAAAACACGCACAGCATAATATATGTGGCGCACATGTCGGATACGTAATGCCGCATGGAGGTTTCAGTGTTCGTGTGTCTCCAGGCAGCAGGTGCAGTTCTAAATGTTAACGCCAAGAGCCATCACATCAAACATTTTCATTCACACACACCCGCACCCACATATTGATACAAAGGCACACACAGATACAGATTCTGCCATAGAAGCGCCCTTTAAAGTATGCAGCGTGTTTGGCTTGCGGAAAACAACGAGGTGATATACGAAAGGCAACGAAAATTGTTGCTCCAGCTGTCAATGTAGCAAAGTCTGCATTGAAAATCCATTTATAGTGTTTGCATTATGTTATTTTCAGTCATTTACCAGGCGTCTGTCTCTTGTCACTGCAACTGAGTTGAACTCGAACAGAAGCAACTGCAAAAATGCATGTCAGTCCACCGAAGTCATATTATTTTAGATACGGGCTCAATGACACTCCAAGCCACCCTTTTCTTCTTTTTAACCGTAGCCGTGTATTGGGTTACGTGTAAGGCAACAATATTTTCAGTCAAGTCGCGTTGATTTTCCGTGTGTGGCAAAGAATGGGGTCTCTATAATTAACTTGCCATTTATTTTGGCTTCATTCCGGCGTCTGAGTGACCGAAATACTTGCGAAATGCACAGAAAAGTTAAGTTAATTAATTGGAAAGTTGTCAAAAAGGTTTTTAAAGTGTCAGGGAAAGAAGGTCATATAAAAGCAATACACATTTTTAGACTTTCCCTCCAAATGTATTTTTTTCTTATTAATGTATTTTTTTCTTTTTTTCTTTTTACTAAAATAAAAAGTTAAAATTTATTTAATCCTGATGATTTTTTTCGAAATAAAGTCATATTAAGCCAATATTATGACATCACAAGAAATAATAGTAGAAAGGTGTTTTCTTGATTAGTCAACTAATATTCCTTCGATTTCTGTTAGCTACTTCATAAAAACCTCATTAAAGCCAAGAGTATGCATGTAGTGAATGACGCTGATATAAATTGATTCGGAATGGCGTTTAAGAGAAACACTAGTAATACTCAACATCATACCACTCAGCGGACACTTTTTGTACTCAAAGCGATTCTCTTTCTACCAATCCATCTATCCTATTCCCCCGCCGGTTAAAATGGACTTTCCTGCTGTCAGATTCAATAACTAGAACCGCCGCCTGAAGGGGATGGTAAAAGCTAGTAGCACCACCTGAAACCCGGAGGGTCATATGCGTAGCTGTTGTGGCTGTCTATCAGTATAACTATCCGTGCTTTTAATCCGGGCAATCCTTGATAACTGTCCGTCTGACAACTGAGGTGGTTGGGCCGGTTGGAGGTTGTACCCAATCCAATCCCGCTTTTGACGCATTTCCATTTCTCTGCTTTTCTCGTCATGTTGTCCTGACTTGTGCCGCATTAATTATTCAGGTTCGGAATATTAAATGGGCCCAGAAACATCCGTCAAAATCAGGTTTAGAACTCATGACAATTGCCATCGGAAGTGGGTTGAGTTTATGCTTACCCCTGCATTTGAATTTAAATTAAATAATAACATTTGCGTAACAACTTGGCAGCATACTGCAACTGTGTCCTCGCCCTTTTTCCTTCTTTTTGGCTGCGGAATGACGCCAGATAGACGGCTACACGAATTCAGATACAGATACAGCCGAAGCTTTAGCTGCAGATACAATACGTAATCACACGACGCCTTCGCTTACACATTTTCCAAAATAAAAATCAATACCAGCAAACGGGTGGGTGCGGCCAAAAAGTGTAAGCTTGGGGAGAAAAGTCTCCCAACTTTAACTCTTCCACACATGCTGTTGCACATCTAATCAATTCAACTGCAAAGTCATTCAATGGATTCCAAAGACATGTTAAGTTGCACGGAAAAAGGCTGAGGGAGCTAATGCAACGATGACAACGGCGAAGTTCCGGATGGAGCAGAGGGATATAAAACAACTGCATGGAATTCATCCAAGAGAATACTCTTGGATGAACGGAAAGGTGATTAATCCAATTATAAAGGGGAGATTTAAAGTACAGAAACTAATAAAATCTTTTTAAATAAAAGCGCATTTGAAAATTATTTCAGTTCTCAGCTGAACAATTTTAATAGAACAAAATAATCATCGATCATTAAGATTTTCTTATTTGTATACCTTATTTGTACGTCTTTAAAAGCATTAAGAATGAAATGAAGCAATTTTCCAAGAGACTTAGCTTGTGATAGCGAACTTTGAAGTGACTGACCATTGATAGCATTACCATTATTTTGTGATGTGATTTAATGTCAAATTCAAATTAATATTAAAAACGTTTTTCTCTAAAAAAAGAGGTAACAAAACATTATTTAAAGAAGTAAATCTAATAACTTGGATACTTTATAGCAACTTAATTTTCTGGGTCAACTAGTATTCCAAGCTTTGTTCTTTCCTTGCTCCAGACTCTTGATAAATCACCAATTTCAAGCAAAGCAGCAACGACCGAAAGTGGTATTTAAGTTTGGCAAGAAGCCGCATCGCATCAACGCCGATTTGCCTTACTGGCCCTGACAGCTCACCACTCCAATTCCACTCCTACGCGTGCGTAATTGATTTCAGTTATGGCTTTCTATGCTTATTTGCGGATTAATTGATTGCCGGAACAAAACTGCGTACGAAAGGACCGAGTACGGATAAAGCTAAGGCTAACCTAAGGACTAAACAGAAACCATCAATTGACACTTTTTCCTATGTGCTGCTTGAATTGGAGCTAAGGCTTTGCAGGGAGCTATTAGATGCGGTCTTCCTTAGCGTTTCCCCTGCCAAACTGCACAGATTCTGGACCAGAAGCGCCGAAGAGTTCGCAGATCCTGAATTGCGGGTAAGCAGAGGCGAGGACGTTGTTTTGGCCGAATTGGAGTCGTGGTGCCTCAGGGGCTGCGGCGAGGTTGGATTCGAGAGGCCGGATTCGTGGATGGGCGACAGAGTGGGCGAGCGAGTCCGCAAGAAGTGCTTCCGCCTTTGCCGGCGGTAGACATTCCCCAAACTTGGCAACGTTCGGCTGTTCGTCTGGATGTGCTGATTGTGCTGCAGATTGCTGGCAAATCCCAGGGTTTCTGCCAACTCCGCCATCTCCTGAGTGGTCTGGTTCATTTTCCTCCTCGTCGGCGGTGGCAAGGCGGGCGGCAAGGTCAGCGTATACGTGGTCACGCTGTCGTCTCTTATCACGGATGTGGGCAGCAACATCAGTTCCTTGTGGCCGCAGGAAGGATTTGTACTAGTGCTCAGCTCGCTGCTCTCCAATGAACTTCTGCTCGGCGAACTGGCCGGCGGCGTGGGCGTGGCGGTGGAGTTGGCGTAGCCACGCCCAGCTGCCTGCAGCTGCAGCGGACGTATCTGATTCTGCTTGATGGCGGAGTTACCATGATTCTGATGCTCTTTGGCCGCGATTCCATGATGGGTCCCATGGCGACAGCGAGGTCTTCGATAACGTCCTAGCAATCGCAGCATGTGACGAAGTCGCGAGCTTCGTGGTGGAGTTGGAGTAGCGGTTGTTGTTGTTTTTATGGGCAGTTCCTGATCCAATCCGCCGTTCAGTGTGCGTATAAACTGGATGGGCAGCTCCTGGGCATTCAGTTTGGCAGCTGCTTCTTCGCGTTCGCGGAACGTTAAGGCAGCTAGGAGATCGTTGGGCACATCGGGACTATCCGGAACTGAGGCGCAACAGTTCCATTTCCTTCGCCAACGCTGGTGCTTCGAGATATTTCCAGCTGCCGTCGCCGATGAGGAGGATCCCCCCGTTTGGCTGGTCAAGGTGCGAGTGCTACTACTTCCCCCGGCGCTGCTCACAGCTCCTGAAGATCCCGCCATCGATCCAGATCCCCTTCTCAGTCGAAAAGTGCAGAGGGTACACTGTTCGGTGTACTGAAGATAAGTCGCTGGTCTCTGGGGACGAGGCTCTGCCGAGATCAATGATTTCTTAGCCACGCTGACCCTGCGCTGCAAGGAGCTTGCTGCGAAACTGGAGCAGCAATGGAAACTACTGAGCGTATCCTGCTTAACTTGAATCTGTGGAACTGTCTCCTCCAGCAAGGAGCAAACGTAGATGGCCTGCCTGCTCTGGTGGAACTCCCTAGAGCTGGCACAACAATGCAATCTCAGGGACTGCTCTGTTTGACCCACCGCCTCCTGTGACTGCTGGCCAGGATGTGGGGCACTGGAGCAGCAGTAGAGCTGGGGGGTCAGCATGGGCTTGGACGGATTGGATAGCTCAGGCAAAGAAGCCGAGAAGTGTACGCTGCCGTTCTTGGCCACTCCCACACTGGGAGCTCCCTCCAGGAGCTGCTTCGCCTTGGCTTCCTGAGCCTGCCGATGGTTCCTGATATACTCATAGGTGGTCAGTCCCAAAAATGAGATGTAGATGTGAAAGAAGCACAGGTGAAGCAGCAGACCCGCACTCACGGCAGCGAGCAGTCCCAGAACTCCCAAAAGGAGCAGGAAAACAGTTTCGTTGACACCGATTCCTCCCACTGCAGGCTGAGTTACTGTGTGATTCATTAGGCTAATCCCAGGCTGAGTTGTACTAGATTCTATCAGGGCTGTGAAGTTCTCCAGAAGAGTTGGTAGTGTGGATATAGTCAAGTTTGCCATCTCATCATCCATTGCATCCTGACGCTCCTCCTCCACCGGCTGCTGCTCCATTAGCATCATGGTGCCGTTGCCCAGGCTTAGAGTGATGTTTATGTAGTCGCCGCCATCCATTTGGTGGCTTGACCCCGAAGGGCACCAGTAGAAACTCAACCACTCCGGCTGGACGTAGTAGAAGACGATCTGGGCCACCACGGCAGCCACAATGACCAGGGTGGCCACCACCGCACTTACAACGCACATCAGGAAGGCCACATAGTTCCGCGATCCTATGCAGTGGTTCAGCCACTTGCAGTGGTGGTCGAACTTTCCCACGCACTTGTTGCACACGGAGCAGTGCTTGGTGCGGCCCGACGAGGTCCGGATGTTGCACAAATGGCACCTCCCGTTTTCGATCACGTGGCTATGCTTCGTCCGGTCGAATTCCGGGACGATCCGATCGTTGCGATGCACCCGCCGCAGCTCCTTGTCCGCCGGATCCGTCAGCAGCGCCGTCAAGTGGGAGGCAATGTGAACCAGATAGAGACCCGTTATCAGACCGTAAAGTGGTCCCTGGATACGCGCATGGAAAGCCGGAATGAGCACCCAGAAGCTGGCCACTCCGAAAAGAAGGAGCACCAGCCAGCCAAAGAGCTGGAGGGGATGCAAGGGCAGCTGCAGTCCGTGGAGGCGTCGTCCCTTCCTATGTTGGACATCAGCGATGTTATTTTGGTAGCTGACCAGCTGCGACAGCCGGCACAAGTGAAGGGGTTTCTTCCTTGGGTCAATCTGGTCACCGGGAATGATGGTGGGTAGAGGAACTACACTTCCCAGGGACTGGGGCTTACTGACCGGAGAAGCTACTCCCTTTACGGGCTCCCCGCTGCACGAGTCCGTCAGGCTGGCAGTGCTGATGGTTATGATGTGATCTGTCGTTTCTGTCCTGACTCCGTTGGCTCCTTTGGGTCCAGGTTTTAGCCCAGCTGCTCTTGTGGACATTGTGTTTTTGGGTCTGGAGAAGATGGCTGGGATGATGATGACGTGTGAGTGATGAAAGGTCCAGCTTGACAGAAGTACATTACATTGGATGCTAAGCCACGCCCTCGACGGATGATGCAATCCAGTGGTGAAAAGGTTTCATATAATTCCTAAGCGATTTTTTAGCATATTTATAAAGCTAGTTTGCAGTTATTATGAGTTTATTAAGTTTATTAACTTGGGTTTTCTTGATTTTCTTTTTTCAGTTTAATATTATTTGTTTAATTTCACTTCCATTAAATTATGTTTTGTGTTAACTAACGATTTGTAAGATTTTTGTGGTGTTTTCTTTTTCATTTGCCACAAAAAGTTCATCAAATGCTTAAACCTCTTTGAAGGCTTTTAATTTTTTTGGATTATTTGGATTATTTGTAATAAATATCCATTTAAAATTGATTTGTTTCGGTGTTTTTTCATTTTATCTTTCCAGCCCAATTTAATATTTGTGTGCCTTTATTTTAATGTCCTTCTATGCTGATTTGACTTCTTCACTTCGTCTGGACTTTATTGTTACTGTTTTTTTTTTTGTTTTCTCTTTTACAATCGCTAACTTGTATTTTTTTTTATTTATAAATTCACCTCCTTTTCAACCGATTTTATTGTTGATTTCGTGGGTCTGCCTCTCGCACACTTTTATTCCTATGCTTTTATTTTTGTTGTTGCGAATGGCGCAGTTAACGGTTCATACGTGAACGTATTTTGTTATTTTCGCTTTTATCCTTGAGTCCTTTTTGTTTTTGTTGCTGTGAGGGGGTGGTTACACTGGCAGCGAGCACAGAATAGCAGGATGGTCGCCACCCCCTTTTTTATTGCAGGATTCCTTCTCTAGGATTTACTTGTTCGATTTGCAATTTGTTTGACTCCCACACATACATATGGGTGCACAGGCGTCGCGCTATGAAATACTATTTGTTAAAACAGGCGATTGTGCTCGCGATTACCGTTACTTAAGCGCTTCAAAACGAACAACCGACTCCTTCAACCGACGCGACCAAACGAACCAACTCCACGCAGAGTAACCATCTTGGAAGCTCATAACGCTCAATTGAATCGAACATTGCTGCAACACTCAGAAAAATAATGCTTTTCAACCAAGAACAACAAATATTATTTTTTTAAGTCTTCGGGAACTATGTTTTAGGGGACATTGAAACATTTGTTAATTTTTTTGAATGTAGATCATTAATAGATAATGTAGATAATTAATATGCCTCAAATGTATTATATTTTCAGTTTTAATTAATTGGAAATATTTTATTTTATTTAAATGTGTAACAAGTGATAGTCTTAACATATTTGAATATTTGTAAAACATTTTTAAGCGCTTCACAACATCAACACGAATTAGTGATGTAACCAAGTAAACTGTTGCGATGTTAACTAGTGTTCAAACCCAAGTTCTCTCCCAAGGTTCGAAGTTGCTCTCAAACGTTAGCAGGGAGCAACGAGAGAAAGCCTCTCTCCGTTGAAAGTGATTGAATGACTAGGTTCAGCTGATTGAAGGCTGGAAAGCTTCCAAGTTAAAAACTGTCACTCGACAATTTCTGATGGGTAAACCAAAAGAGAGTACAGGAGAGTTAAAGACAGTTGTGAGAGGTTTTGCCCATGATACAATAACATAAGGTAGTCTCGTCGGCTGTCTAAACGTTCGGGTTTTGGTCAGTGCGAACGTCTTTCGAAGGGAAAGGTTGTCTGCGGACGAATTTTTTAGGAAATTAACCCTTGAGCAACATGACATTTTGCAATGTGTGCCGCAAACACGTCGATGGCGTAAAGGCACCGAAATGTTTGGAAAAAAGAGCGCTGTGGGAGGAATCGCTGTGATACTTTTAAAATAACAAAGAATGTAAACGAAACTTTTATAATCGCAGCCGAAAATGTTAATATAAGTTTAGACATAAAAAAGTTTTATTTTAAGATTAGAATATATTTTAGAATTAAGAATCTCAACAAAAGACTCAGTATTCAGAGGCAAAAACAACGACTAATTTCTAATTCAAAATTATTAAAAATTAAATTATAAAAAAAATTAAACTCCTTTTATTATGAAAGCCAAAAAAAAACCCCCTGAACCATCTAAGGGTTAATCCACACATTCTATTGTCGCTCTGCTCGCACTTACTAAACAGTTGCCATTTCACTCGCACTCATTGTTTTAATAGTAGGGTTCCAAAATTTGCCGACGAGACTACCTTATGTTATTGTATCATGGTTTTGCCGGTGCTGCTTTTCAATTGAAGAGAATTAGAGGGTGTGTGAAGTCAGTAAGGACCCCTTAACAATTATTTCAGATACTAATGTTTGTAAACAATATTATCATTATTGAATGAAGAAAATAATAAGACAACTGGTTTTCCAATTTTTGGCTTCCTTTTTTGCACAAAATAGATTATTCTGAAAATAACCGATCACCTTTTTCTACTTGAATAGAATTGTCGATGGAAACTTGCGTGCGCTACTGTTGGATGTTAAGGGAGGGGTTTTGCCACGAACTAAGAGCATATATATTCCATTCCAATACGCTTTGAAGTTGGGTGGCAATGTTTTCCTTGGCGTTACAGGGGGTGGTTTAGCATGAGAGATAAGTTCGTGATAGCTTAAACTGAACTTTTGAACTTTTACTGTTTAAAATTATTTTGCTATCATTAAATTTTAAATATAAATTTTTATATATGTATTTACTATTGATTTGTTTTGTTTATAAAGAAACCTAGGGAACATTCAAACATGATTGGAGGTTGGGACTTGACTCTATAAAATTCAAAATGCATTTCTTACAGGTATATTTATCCAAACGAATATTTGTTTGTTAGCCGAATGACTCACGCTGCCATCTCTTGGGACACATATCAAAGCAGGAAGTAACTATATGTAACGTTAAATGGGACTGGGCACAGAAGGCCGTTGGAGATTCAAACGCACCTTTCGTTTTCTCTTTCTTTTTTATACCAACATAATTTTTTATTTATGCTTTCGATAGGGGACGAAAAGTAAAAGGGGCGTCGTAGGTGTTAGATGAAATGGAAAGCACACTCGAGAGAATATTTGGAGCACGTGCTGCAGCAAGTACATTTCAGCACATGATGTGATTTTATTTAAATGGAAGATACACGATAAAGGGCGAGAGGGGGTTTACTTTTCCAAGGAAGAGTCAATGCAGACATACCGACGCCTGACCAAACGATTGGTAAATATTTATGCCCGAGATGCCCGCAATTTAGAGTTGCCCATACGAAAAACGAGGCCACCGCTGGAGAAAGCGGGTGGAAAATAAGCCCAGACGGAGACAGCGAAAGAAAAAGACGGAAAGAAAAACGAGGATTTATGTAAGCCCCAAACAAACGGTTGGGGATCTGATGAAGCACAACTAATGAGGCGGGCTACTATGCCGATTTGGTATCGTAAAACCGAAACGGAAATTTCAAAAACAAAGACTATGCATTTTGGATATCAATAAAAGGCCAATTTAGTTTATTTCGCATACGATAGTAGTCATGGTACGGGCAACGCTTTATGGATGCCATTAGACCATCGGTATGGGCTAAGATATATTAAAATTACAAATATTATTAAACAATTTAATTTTAACCTTCTTTAAAACTGTTAGAATATGATATATTTTGAGTACTCACGAAGTCGTATGTGACTAGACATTTTTACCGAAATTTACATTTCTACATTTTTTTTAAATAACTAGAAAGGAAGCACACTTCGGCAAGCAGAAGTTTATATATATTTGGAGCTCTTACAAAAATTAAATATTCCACAATTCGATTTCAATGTTTACAATCAATATTATCAAGTTCGGAATATGGCGAAAACAGTCTTAAAGTAGGCAGTTTGAATATAGTTTAAAATTAGAGCCCCATTTGAAATTAGTTTTCATATAACGCTCAGAGAACAACTGTTTATTGTACACAAATATTTTAGGGAATAGTAAATTAAAAGCGTCAGGATGATCGATATATTGTCCCTGCCGCGCCGGAACAAGGTGTCCGGAAATCCGGCCCTGCTGAAGATGATTTCCTACAAGACCGGACTCCCTATCAACAGTCTGCCAGGATGGGAGCTGATCCCCCTCAACTGCAAACTTCCCATGCTTAAGTGTCCAGGGAATCAAGTCATATTCTCGAAAAACAAAATTGGACAGGATGTAAGTAACTACCAACTTTGTTAATTAAAAAACAATAAATGCTTATTATACCAGCATTAAATTATTTACATAATTTAGATTGAAACCAATTTAAACTTAGTATATATGTATAAAATACATCTTCTAATTTAATTCCAGTTCAAAAGTGGTAAGCAGGAGTTTGAGAGCTCTGTTACTGAGCACATTCCCGAGTACAATCCGCTTCACGACTCCAACCTGAAGACATTTTACTCCAACGAGCGTAATCTGAAGCGTTTGCGGGAAAACGGCGAGATAACACAGGGCAACGATGTGATCTGTAATCTGAAGGACTTCAATCAGCATCGCCAGGAACTGCACAAATCGCAACTGTACTATATTTTGCAGGCTTACAAGCGACGAGAGTCCGAGCAATATGATCGAATGCTGATCGCCAATGCGGAGTCGATCACGAAGAAGGATCACCTTAATCTTGCAGCTCGACACCAGTGCACCGAGGAGGTCTTGGCAAGAAAGCAGTTGCAGGAGGAGGAGCGGCACGAGAGGAAGGTTCACTTGTTGAACATCACATATGAGAAGTTTAAGCGTTTGGAGAACCTGGCCACCATGCAGAACATGCTGCTGGAGCACCGTAAGATGCTTACAAATATGCGAGTTGCTGCCCATATCAGCATGTGTCAGGATCTAAAGAGGAAACTCTTGATCAAGCAGAAGAAGCTCTTCCAATTCAAAAAGGATCGGTTCAACAAGAACATGCGAATTCTTCGGAAACAGAGGCTGATAAAGAACACAGAACACCAGATCCAGTCTTGGAAAAAGAGGCTGGATGAGCGCATTGCCAATCAGCGTAGGATTAACTACCTCCTGCAGGAAGTGGAAAAAGAGCGTGTGGCGTTTATAGACAGACACAAGGCGCTTTACAGGGAAAAGTGGCAGCGGATTCAGGATGAGATTAAGGAGAGAGCTCAGAAAGCCGTCAAAGCTCGCCATCCCAAGAGGAAGCGGCGCAAGAAGAAGAATTCGATACTTCAGGAGCGAAAACCATCCTTCTGCGATGAGTATCAGGCCACCTTCGAGGGTTTACTGGACAGTGAGCTTTGTTATGCATTGAATGCAGCCATCGCCATGGAAGGACAGACAGCTCTCAGCTTTGCCCCGGATGATCCCATCTACAAGGCGGCGCAGTACATACTCGACTACATTATTGCTGGATTCACCGAGGACCTCAGCGAAGACGAGTGCGCCCTGCAGGTGCTGATCTCGCGCATCAAGGACTTTGTCTGCGATGCCAAGAAATACGTGCACTATGTGAGTGGTTGCCATTAGTCCTCTTTGAAAAATTGCTTATTGTCTTCCACTGCAGAAAGCTTATCAGATCATCGGCTTTGCCAGGGACCACAAGGCCATGGAGGTGCCGCCGTCGGTGGCCAAGCCGCCAAAGAACCACTCGCGTGCCTCCCATGTCTCCTTCAGTGGCGTGGCCAGCACCATTGGCGTGGGTAGCTACGAGATTCATCCGTTCGTGGATGTCCGCCCCTGCGGCGAGCGTCGGGCCACGCCGGCGGGCTCTTTGGCCTCGCTGGTGGTCAGCCAGATCGGGGAGCAGGTGATCCAGGACAAGGTGCGCCTGCCCCACCTGAATCGTAACCAGATCGTCTTCATAGAGCATTATCTGGTGAAGTTCAAGCGGGATTTGCTGGTGGGTCTGGATAAGCTGGTCTTTGCGGCCATCCAGTGCCACTTCGAGAACCGAATGATGGAGGTGCGCGAAGAGCTCCTGCTGCTGGACAGGAGCTATCTTTTCGACCAGATCGCCAGGGGCATCCTCAGCTATTCGGTTAACCCGCTTAACTACCAGTCGGTGCTGAAACTGGCCGTGAGCGTTCTGTCCTGTGAGATCATCTGGGAGCTGCAGCAGACGATGCTTAAGCCGGGCATCGATCCCCGGGGTCAGAATCACCCCGTGTCCTGCGGGACTGAGCGGGAACTGGAGACCCTGGCCCTGTGCATACCCTAGGATCCTGATTTGCAGTTGAGGGTAGGGAAAAATGGGTTTCACAGTGGGGATTGCTCGGCTCTAGCGAAAAATAGTCCGTACAAATTACATGTACATTAGAATATTCTGGCTGTTCCGGCACTCGGGTGTGCTAAATTTATGTGATGTTTATCGTTATTTTTGCAAATGCTTACGGTTAATAAAAGTGTTGCTTGTTGTTCCAAGATAAATCCTTTTTAATATGCAAACTCGATTGTGTGGGTCCAAAACTAAAGCCTGTAGTAGTGATTTTTCATCGGAAGGAAATTAGTTTATTGTAAAATAGTAAGAAGAAAAACTCACCGTGCAAACTGTGAAAATCCGTTAATCAATATTTACTTATATGTTCATCAGTTTTCTTGCAAATTTTAATCGTAAACACAAATTTTTGTGGAAAAGCGTGGAAGCAACAGCTGGCAAAACATGAAAGCAGGGCGATACTTTCCGATAACCAGGGCTGCACAAGCCTTACCTATTATCGATAAATAGGCTCGTGAAATTAACATTAAGCAAATGTTTAACATCGGATTTAAAATGGTAACGTAAATTTCGATCTAGAAAACTATTTTTTTGATTCGACAAGGTTTTTATTTGAAGCCTTAAGTATTTTTAAACCCGTTACTCGAAGTTTCGTTGAAAAGTATGTAACAGGTAGAAGGAAGTATATATGTATATTTAAAATATATTTATTCTTGTTTTGGATCATTAGCATTTATTTTTAATTATTAGAGGTTAGGTTAGACAAGCAACTCGACTAAAGAGTTTCCCCGAAAAACCGATCCCTCTATATTTTTTGATTTTAAATGCTTTTTATGTGATATACAATTTAACATTTTGTTGGCGCATATAACGCGGCAACATAATGCTTGTACTATCCTCAGTAACTAACTTATGTGATAACTATTTAGAAAAACTGAACGGCGCCCCATAGGGATACATCATGGAGTTGAAAGGGGCACCGGGAGCCCCCAGAAGGGGAAATGGAAACACTTGAGGAGGCAGGCTGGCTGCGGCAGAGGCGGAGACCTTCGTACCGCGTTTCCGTTTCTGCTTGGACACAGGTACTGGTTCCGGCTCATCGCTGGACTCGGACTCCTCGCTCTCGCTGCTGGCGTCGGTGGCACTATCCGCGTCTTCCTCATCATCCTCCTCTTCTTCATCCTTGGGCTCCACTTTCATCCTCTTTTGTGGCGTCTTCTTGGCTTTCTTGATAGCCACTTTTTTGTCCTTATTGGACTTGGCCGAAGTAAGTCCAACTTGCACTGAAACTGGAGCTGCGACGGTGCCAGCGGGAAAGGCGAATCGTTGATCGCCATGGAAGGCAGTCATCTGCTGCATAGCGAACTCCATAAATGACTGCATTGCAATGTTCAGGTTGGGCGGATTCGGGCACTTCCTGAGGCCGTGATACCGACCAGAGCAATTCCGGCAGATCATCTGACACTGGAACGAGGTATGGGCCTGAAAACATACACTTTTTAATACTTATAAGTAGAAAACCTATCTATTACATACTTTCTTATCGCAGATGCCACACACATCGACGGATTTACTCTTCTTTTTTCGTTTTCCCACCATCTTGTCGTCTTTATCTTCTGGCTCGCTGCTCTCCTCTTCATCTGTGATTGTAAACTGGCGATCCTGAGAGCCCATGCAGACCACATCCTCCTCGATCTCGTCTTCGTTGGCCGCTTGTTTACTTTCTACCGGAGGCCGACTGTGTTCGTCATCGGAGTCCGAGTCCGAGTCCGAAGAGTCGGTAGAGGAGACTGGTTTCACCGCCTTCGGTTTTGGCGTGGATATCACAGCTATCTTCCTGGACTTTGTTTTTGGCGAGGAAGTCACAACTGCGGGCTTAGTGCTTCTGACCACTTCGCCTGGTTCGGGCTCGGATTCCTCATCCGAGCTGCTGGACGAAGGTCTCTCTTTCTTTTCTTTTGGAGACTTGGGTTCCAGTTTCACAACTGGTTTCGGTTCTGGCTTGATTTTGATCAGTGGGACAGTAGGTTCTTCTGGCGGAACAGACACCTCAGGTGCAGGTGGTAGCTCCAAGGCGGCACTAATGGGGTTAGGTGGTAGGCTCTCTTGCCTCAGAGACGAGGCAGCAGGTAAGGAAGCAGTTAAAGATGGATCCTCGGTGAAATCGCCCAAGTTGTCGTAGTACAGCATGTGACTCTGGCCCGGGCTGACATGTGAGTCCTTGCCGTGCCAGGAGTTGTTGCGGCCACCATTATTGGAATCCCTGCCGCGTTGGCCTCTTCTGCCTCCTCCTCCTCTTCCTCCACCACCTGCTCTTCCTCCACCACCTCCTCTTCCTCCACCACCTCCTCTACTCCTCCTGCCACCTCTTTTGTTTGTCTGCTGCTGATTATTCGGTTGCTGCTGAGGATCCCTGAACTTGTTAAAGGCGTTTCCATTGTGGCCTGCAGGTTCTCTGTCAGGCCAACTGCCATTAGATTGGGAATTCTGGCTCTGGTTTCCACCTCCGCGCCCTCCGCAGCTCCTATGATGATTGTTTTGGGAGTTGTTCCAGTTGCCGTTGTGCATCCTGGAATTTATAACATTTATTAACCGCTAGCCGCGGCGCACGTGTTGAGTCGATTGGCGATGTCGATGATAGGTTATCGACAGCAGCGCTGCTTGCTTGACTTTATTAATGCCAAATTTGTCTATTAGGATAGCCAGACTTAATATAATTTTTAAGCCTATTCCTAGAGTTAAGCTTGACATTTCTATTAAAGGCAACACAGTAGCCTGAAGTAAAATATAAAAAATACTTAAGAAAATAAACTTTTAATAAAAATTTATAGCTTATTCCAGCTAGATTCGATAGTTTATCCCCACTAGAAATCTGTCACCTCTAAGCCGTGTGGGGACATAGATTCGGAAATAAATAAAAACTGAAATGAAGCCAACAAGGCAGGATAAACATAAGGCCCGATTAGACCAACGCACCAAAAACTGGGGCAAGGCCAAGTTCAAGCCCAAGAAGTATGTGAGACCGGAAGTTTTGCCCGAGCCGCAAGCCACTGCAAAACCCTGGCAGCATGTGAAGAACGACATAATCGACGATTCGGAGGATCGTGGACATCAGGATGTGGACAGCGAGGACGCTAGGAAGTTCATGCAGCAACGGGAGCAGAACCACCGGCGGAATATCATAGAAGCCAACCGATCGGAGACCACCATATGGGAATCCTTTGACGAGGAGCAGTTCTCCACTTCCAAGGAGGAGCGGTCCGAGCAAAAAGATAAGGCATCAAACGAAAAGTCCCGTCTGTGGGAGTGCGACATTTCCCAGGGAGAACTGCCCACAGTGGTTGAAAACTTCTCGATAGTGGAGCGCAACTTTTACAAAAGAAGGATCACATTGGGCTTGAAGACTACCGAACGAGCAGGAACACTTCAAACAGCTATAAACGATTTAAAAAAAAATCAAAGCTGGGCACGTGGCAACCAAATAAAAATGCCCGTCCAGAAAACGCGAGAGAAGAAAAAGAAGCCTTTTCGGAAAAATAACCCTTTTCATAAGAAGGGCAGTGGAGAAGTCATGGAATGAATCACAATAGCTTAAACTTAACTCCTCCTAACACTTAGGCTAGACTTTATTCCTGTCATTAATGAATGGTAATTAAAAACTTCGATGTATTTTTTTAGAAATTAAACGATTATAAAAGAATATTATCTGCCCAAAACCAGTCCGAAAATTGAAAAGTAGCTTTTTGGGTGACAAATCAGAAATGTATACACAACATTACTACACACTTTATGTAAATCTTAAAAGTAGTGGTACAAATACATGTGGAATAGGTAGGCGAAAATAAATAAACTAAACATAATTCAACTGCTCTTCCGGCGGGAGGAGCAAGAGGAGATTGAAGCGACGCCCGCTGCGCTATGGATCTAGCCAAGTCCAGCTCGGATCTTCAGCCATTGGCGTTGGCCAGCTTGGTAATTAGCTGGTTAAACTTGCCGTTGGTGGTCACCGATTTTTTGGCCGATCGCACTTGATCCGGCGAGTGCTGCAGAAAGTAAACGACGATAAATTCGAGTGTTTGATTGGCTTCCTTGGGGTACATCATGTTAAAGGTATAGTAGTAGCAGATCAGCTGGGCTAGAATGTCCGGCAGATCGTCGTCCCCGGCGGCGGACGTGGTCATTATCTGTCCTTCGATGTAGACCTTGGCCTCCATCTGTGGTTCCACACTGCCGGCCGTTGCTATGGGCAAATCTACAGGAAAAATTGAGTTAGGATTATTTGCATTTGTCTATCCAATGGTATGCATCTCAACAATATTTATAGTTCAAAGTACTCACTGACTAGAGCCACCCAGGGGGCATTTGTGGGATGCATGCTCTGCAGCGCTTCCTTGTTGAGGGAACCACTCTCAAGGTGCTTGAAAATATAGTCAGGATCCTCATTGAAATGATACGCTATGCCACGCAGCAAATTTGCGTTGCTCTCCTCCAGAGCGCAGATCTTCTTATTCTTCGAACTCTTAAAGAGCCTAAAGAAACGCTCTTTTTCGCCAGCCAGGCGCTTCTCCAAGGCCCGGGGATCGATGGACATGAGCAGCTCGAAGTGCTGGTACAGCACAGCCTTGTCAAAAATATATGGCCAATTGTCCTTAATGGCCGTGATGTCCGGAATCTTTTCGCTATTGTTGAAAAAGGAGCGCTGCAGTGGAAAACACTCTTTCATATATTCGATTATGTTGGCCTGTTCCAGGGGGGAACTGCCGCGGTAGCTGGAGATTAGAAGTTCCTTCTTCTGCTCCAGATCCCTGTTGAGAGCCAATGCTTTGGCGTCGCCATTGGAGGATACACCTCCGAATTTTCGTTTCTTGCTGGAGATGTGGATCTCAAAAGTTGCAGAACTTCCGCGCTTTTGCGGTTTATTGAGGGTATTATTCCGGTTGATCATCTTGGAGATGAGCGACTGCGGCGTGGTGGCAATAAACTGACCCTCGCGGTCCTTCTCAAGCAAGGAGTCCGGGTACTTTTCAGACGCCTGCTGTGCCACCTGCCGGAAAACCCGAATTGGGATGTGGGTAGAAATTTCGCGGAGAGCCTCCACCAAAACATTCGCCAGGGTATTCAGGCGCTTGCCCAAACTACCCTTTCCCTTCAGCAGCTTCATTATATCCCCAGGCACCTTACTCCAGGGTATTGAGAACTCCTTGAACAAAGCCGAACTCTTTGCACTTAAAGGTGTTACGCTCGACAGGGACAAAGTCTCGTCATTGGAGACCGTCGAGTCGTTTGGGTTGGACACAATACTGTTGTTAGCATAAAAGCTAGGATCTACCGAGCTGCCTGCGCGTTCAGATCGATTTAGCGGCGACGGCGGAGGCAGAACAACAAACTCATCCGACTCGGCGAGGAGCATTAGCAGAATCTTTTCCTTGGCGGCAAAAAGGAGCACGTCGTCTTCGCAGATCTCGCAGCCGTTGCTCTCCAGAACAATCGTGCTGCCACAAAGGCCGTATTTTTGGGCTAGAAAGAGAAGAGTAATTGAATTAAAAGATTTTTCTCTTCAGTTATTGCAATTACTGGGTTCCAGAATTAAATAAAGTTAGTAAGATTCGAAATGATGGCTTTACTATTTAAGTAATTAAAGGATCGTAACAAGTTTTTAATCAATCACTGAAAGCTTTATTTAATTCGATGAGTTTCCTACCTTTCTCGATCACATCCATTCGCGTCGGAAAGGACATAAAGGTCTTCTTGATCTTGCGATCGGCGCTGCATATGGTAATCAATACTTTGTCAGCCAGCTCGGTTTTGGGCTGGGCTCCGTCCTTTTCGTCCTTCTGGACCTTCGCAGGGGAATGTGTCGATTCTGCTGTCAAAACAATTGGTAAAAACATTAAGTAATCGAATAAATGGCACAGATAAATCCGCAAAACGGGTGTTTTCTCACCGCAACTATCTGGCTTTTTCGCTCCTGCTGTTTGTACACCATTTTCGATTGTTGTTGCCTTTGCGTTTGCGGCCGGCGCTTGGTTTGGAATTGGATTCGGATTGATCGGCGTCTGCTGGGTTTTTTGATCGCCGGCGGAACTAACGGGCGGTGCGGGGGCAACGTCCATGGCTTCTATTTGCGTTTGTGCGACTCCAACCAAGCCCCAAGCCCAGTTTTCCGTTTTTTTGGACCGTGAAACAAAATAATATTGCAGAATAGGGATGTAAAAAATTAATCGATGCTTGCTTACTATCGCGATGGTATCGATACTGCGCGTTCGAATGTGACCATAGTGCGGGTTGTTAAAATTACATACAGGATTTCGAAAATTTAAAAAGGGCTTACATCATAAAAATAAGGATAAATCGATTAAAAAATTCAAACCAAGATTCAAACTCAGAATCAAACCACAATTATTTAGAAGTATGAAATTCGAACTTCGATTTTTATTCACTTTTCTGAAACCATTTTTCGAAAATTTGGAAAAAGTGACGAAAAATCGACCCCAAAATACAAACCAATTTGAAAACACAGATTTTTAGAGAATTAATCCACAATCATTTAGAAGAATGCCTTTTTGAAATCGGATGACTGTAAGAAAAGTTATGGGCTTAGAAAAACAGGTTTTATGTCACTTTTCTACAAAGCCATTTTTCGAAAAATTTGGAAAGGGCTAAACTATAAAAATGACGAAAAGTCGACCCCAAAATACAAACCAAGTTGAGAACACAAATTTTTAGAGAATTAAACCACAATCATTTAGAAGAATGCCTTTTTGAAATCGGATGACTGTAAGAAAGTTATGGGCTTAGAGTGCAGGTTTTAAGTCACTTTTCTGCAAAGACATTTTTCAAAAATTTGTCAAAAATGAAAAAAAAAATCGGCCCCAAATTAAAAGCCAAGTTAAAAACGCACATTTTTAGAGCATTAAACCACAATCATTTAGAAGTATGCTATTTTGAAATCGGATGTCTGTATGTTACATTTTAACAAATATACAGCAAATATTTCTGATTTCAATAAGAAAAGTTATGGGCTTCAGAGTGCAAGTCTTTGGTCACTTTTCTGCAAAGCCACGTTCCAAAATTTGGAAAGGGGTTACATAATAAAAGTGACGAAAAATCGACCAAAAAATACAAACCAAGTTGAAAACACAAATTTTTAGAGCATTAAACCATAATCATTAAGAAGTATGCCACTTTGAAATCAGATTTCAATAAGAAAAGTTATTGGCTTCAGAGTGCAGGTTTTAGGTAACTTTTCTGCAGTCATTTTTCAAAAATTTGAAAAGGAGTCCCATCGTGAAAATGTCAATCACAGATTTTTCGAGAATTATACCACAATCATTTGGAAGTATGCCACTCTGATATCGGATTTCTATAAGAAATGTTATAAGTTAAGCATTCTTAAAGAATTGATTAAAAAATTAACCTATTTAACTGGTCTTTCAAAATTAAACCAATAAATTTCCAACAGAGTTTAAATTAGTCTCCAAAGTTGTTGAAAAAATAAATACCAGCTTAATTTATATATTTAAATTGTCACACAGTGATAACATCGATAGCACTAGTTATCGATAACAAATGTTTGCGAAGATTGATGTTTTCGATGTTAGCATCGATGTTTGTCCACCTCTATTCTGCTTCCTGCGGGTTGAAGCATAGCACGATTTATTTTTGTTTTTTTCTTTGGTTCCGTGTTTTTCCTCACTTAAAATACACTAAAAGGCGATTAAAGGACTTATCAATCAAGGAAATTGAAGGAAGAATTCCGCCAAGATGCTTTGAAGAGCTTCCAAATAAGGAGCGGGCTTCAAGCCAATTAAAATTCAACAGGCAGCAACTACTTATTGTTTTTTATTAGCGGATGCAATATTTTAACTTTCCAAGCACGTCTTACATTATGGAGATGTGAGTGATTCGCTTGGAATAAATGGTAAAATAAATTAAAATAATATGGCTATTTTTAACCCCCAGGAAGTATCTCGAAATCGCGATCTTGTGGTTGTGGGTGATCGCAGAAGCATCCGCCAGTCTGGCTAAGTTTACCACCACAACCCCAGTGAGTGCAAAGCAATTGGATGTGGAACTGGAGCCCATCAATGGGACACTTAATTACCGGATGTATGCTAAGAAGGGCAAGGCAGACAAGCCATGGTTCGACAGCCTGGACAGCAGGCACATACAGTGCGTCCGTCGTGCCCGCTGCTACGCCACCACGAACGCCACCAACACCTGTTTCGGTTCCAAACTGCCCTACGAGCTGAGCAGTCTTGATCTCACGGATTTCCACACCGACAAGGAACTGAACGAGAAGCTGAACGACTACTATGCCCTTAAGCATGTGCCCAAGTGCTGGGCAGCCATACAGGTGGGGAATCTTAATTGCATTTAATGAACACATCCCATTGAATGAAGTCTGTATACTAATCAGTCGATTACTTCCAAAATTTACTATAAGGAGAGCTTCTCCGGTTAGGGTCACTAATTTTAAATGCAATGGAATTATTATCAAAATTCAGATATGAATTGCGAACCGAGTCCTAAATATTTGTCCCAAGCCATTTTTCATTTATTTGTGTCATATATAAGTGTCTTTATGGAGGTAGTTAACGGATTTAATAAAATTACAAGTTTTTAATCATTTTACAGCCCTTTCTGTGTGCAGTCTTCAAGCCGAAGTGCGAGAAAATCAACGGCCAGGACATGGTCTACCTACCTTCCTACGAAATGTGCCGGATTACCTTGGAACCCTGTCGCATTCTATACAATACGACGTTTTTCCCGAAATTTCTGCGCTGCAACGAGACTCTCTTTCCGTTGAAATGCACAAACGAAGCGCGAGGAATGAAATTCAATGGAACTGGCCAGTGTTTAAGTCCTTTGGTTCCGACAGAAACGTCGGCCAGCTATTATCCCGGTATTGAGGGGTGCGGCGTGAGGTGCAAGGATCCGCTGTACACCGACGATGAGCACCGGCAGATCCACAAGCTAATTGGTTGGGCCGGCAGCTTGTGCCTCCTCTCGAACTTATTCGTAGTGGCCACCTTCTTTATTGATTGGAAGAATGCTAACAAGTATCCGGCTGTGATTGTATTTTACATAAATCTGTGCTTCCTAATTGCTTGTGTTGGGTGAGTTCCGATTTAGAATTTCTCTGTATCTTTATTTTATTCGATCAATGCATTTCAGTTGGCTGCTGCAGTTCACTTCGGGATCCCGGGAGGACATAGTCTGTCGCAAGGATGGAACGCTCCGTCATTCGGAGCCCACGGCAGGCGAGAATCTCTCCTGCATCGTTATCTTTGTGCTGGTCTACTATTTTCTTACCGCTGGAATGGTTTGGTTTGTGTTCCTTACCTACGCCTGGCATTGGCGGGCTATGGGCCACGTCCAAGATCGCATCGATAAAAAGGGTTCCTACTTTCACCTGGTGGCTTGGTCACTGCCTCTGGTTCTAACGATAACCACGATGGCATTCAGTGAGGTGGATGGCAATAGCATTGTGGGCATCTGCTTTGTTGGCTACATCAATCATCCGATGAGGGCAAGCTTACTTATAGGACCGCTCTGCGGTGTGATCCTCATTGGTGGCTACTTCATTACTCGTGGCATGGTGATGCTTTTTGGACTGAAACACTTTGCCAATGATATTAAGTCAACTTCTGCGAGCAACAAAATCCATTTGATCATCATGCGAATGGGAATCTGCGCACTGCTTACTTTGGTTTTTATTCTGGTTGCCATTGCCTGTCACGTAACTGAGTTTAGGCATGCAGAGGAATGGGCCAAGAGCTTCAGGCAGTTTATAATGTGAGTAAAATTACTTGATCTTTAATTTTTCCTATGCTCATATAACCTTTTTCTTTATGTAGCTGCAAAATCTCATCCGTTTTCGAAGAAAAGAGCTCTTGTCGCATCGAAAATCGCCCTAGTGTTGGCATCCTTCAACTGCATTTGCTTTGTCTCTTTAGCTCTGGAATTCTGATGTCCACCTGGTGCTGGACAACATCTTCCATTGAGACTTGGAAGCGGTACATAAGAAAGTACGTTTTACTGCGGTCGTTTAAGACATCTATAAATTTATGTATCCACTATCTTATGTGCCTTGCAGAAAGTGCGGCAAGGAGGTCGTCGAAGAAGTCAAAATGCCCAAGCACAAAGTCATTGCACAGACGTGGGCCAAGCGCAAGGATTTCGAGGACAAGGGCAGACTCTCCATAACTCTCTACAACACCCATACGGATCCCGTGGGCCTTAACTTCGATGTGAACGATCTGAATTCCTCGGAGACAAATGACATCTCCTCAACCTGGGCTGCTTACCTACCGCAGTGCGTAAAGCGTCGCATGGCTTTGACTGGAGCAGCGACAGGTAACTCTTCTAGCCAAGGACCGCGAAAAAATTCACTGGACTCCGAGATAAGCGTGAGTGTTAGGCATGTTTCCGTTGAATCCCGTAGGAATTCGGTGGACTCGCAGGTGTCAGTGAAAATAGCTGAAATGAAAACCAAAGTGGCATCCAGATCAAGGGGTAATCATGGAGGTTCCTCCAGCAACAAGAGAACTCAGAGAAGGAGGGATTACATAGCGGCATCTACTGGAAGAAGCAACAGGCGAAGGGAAAGCAGTACTTCGGTGGAGTCTCAGGTTATTGCGCTCAAAAAAACCACTTACCCAAATGCTAGTCACAAAGTGGGCGTGTTTGCCCATCACAGCTCTAAAAAGCATCACAATACTACCAGCTCAATGAAACGAAGGACAGCCAATGCTGGATTGGATCCCTCTATCCTAAATAAATTTCTGCAAAAGAATGGCGAGTTCATTTTTCCCTTCCTCCAAAATCAAGACATGAGCTCGAGCTCGGAAGAGGAAAACTCGCGGGCTTCCATGAAGATACAGGATCTCAATTTGGTCGTGAAGCAAGAGGAGTTTAGTGAGGATGATCACGATGGAATAAAGATTAAGGAATTACCAAATAGCAAACAGGTGGCTCTGGAAAATTTTCTCAAGACCATGAAAAAATCGAATGAATCTCGCAATTCTGCAAGAAGTCGTCAGTCAAGAAAGTCTCGCAAGAGCCATCATAAAACCACTGGTCTAGAGCTGGACTTTAAGAGAGATTATGTAAGGAATCGCTCCAATGGGTCACCAAGCTGCTCCTCCGAGGAACTGGACGTGGCTTTGGATGTGGGCAGCCTGCTAAACAGCTCATATTCCGGTATGTCAATGGGCAAACCTCAGAGTAGAAACAGCAAAACTAGCTGCGATGTGGGCATTCAGGCTAATCCTTTCGAGCTGGTTCCCAGTTATGGAGACGAGGAACTGCAGAAGGCCATGCGACTCCTAAATGCGGCTAGCAGGCAAAGAAACGAGGCGGCTAACGAAGATGGTGGAGGCACGGAGTTGCAGGCCCTTTTGTGCCATTCCCATCGGCATCACAGAGAGCCCTCGTTCATGAGCGAATCTGACAAACTCAAAATGTTGTTGCTGCCCTCAAAATAGCAAAATGAACGATCAATTAATGCATTTACTTACACTTTCAAAACTGTTTTTAAAGGTCCTTCAAGTCTGTTTCGGTTTTTATTGGTTTATAAATCAAATGTTGTGGACAAGTAGATGTTTTTGATGTCTGATAAATTTTAAGGTCTTCACTTGATTATCATTTTTACATGATTTTTATCATTTCTGTGTCAATATCATTTGCGAACCACAAAATTTAATGCTAGAAACTACGCGAATAATTCGTAAAAGCTTTTTAAAAATCTTATACCAATCGATTACTTTGTTGGCGTACAAACCGATCAGATTTCAATCTTTTTAATGCGTTGAAATATTTTTCTAAAATTCAGCTTACCATTTATCTTTGCTGAAAAATAGCTAAAAGTACTGAAACTGAATTATTGTATAGTTGTTTATTGATTCAAATATGAAACATAAGTGATATTTTATATAATCTATTGATAGATTTAAACCTGATCTTTAAAGAAACCTGAGTAGAACAAATCGAAATTAAACCACCATACCGGAAAAACCGAAACAACTACAACTTCAAATTACGAATACTCATAGACAATAAGCTGCGAAAGTTATTTTATAAAATCAGTGTACGTTTTTGAATTATTTTTTTCTTAATCCTGGTACTTAAGCCAAAAAAAATCTTCAGGGAAAGGAAATTAAATTTATTTTCCTGATTATTTTCCTTTTCCTTTGAGCACTGAGCAAAACCGAAAAAGGCCAAATGTATACGTTTCCTTGACTTTACATTGCGATGGCGCTATGGTTTATTCTTAATTTTTTTACTGAGCAGAATAAGCGAAACTACAACTACGAATTACGAATACTCATTTACATTAGGCTGCGAACGTTATTTTACAAACTCATCTTCCCATTTAGATAGTAAGCATCTGTGTACTTTTGTGAATGACTGTTTCCTTAATGCTGGTACTCACACTTAATTTTATTGATTATTTTCCTTTGCCGTGAGTACTAAGCTTTAAACTAGACTTTAGATTATACATTAAAGTAGGATACAAATAAGCCTCTTTGGGCAAACAAATTTTACCTCGAAAAGTGCCTACCATTTTATATAATATCTCATACTTTTGTGTATGTCAATAAACCGATTTGAAATCCTCGACTCTTAACACTGTTTGGCCTTTTGTTGCTTCAGCAGCTTGAACTCCGGTTCCCAGACGACGCTGTTGACGAACTCCCCGAGCAGATAGCACACTATATTAAATCCCACCAGCAGGGCCAAAAACAGGTAGCGCAGGTATAAAGGCAGCACCTCCAGAATAGGATATACCCACTCCCCGCTGAAATACCGAACAATATGCAGCCAGATGATGTAGAGCAATATGAAGGAGACGTTGCCCGTGATCCCGCTTAATCGACTCGGATAACGGCGGAAGCAGGTAAACAGATCCATGATGGCCAAGAGTGCAACATTCGTGTGCACCACGTGATTCAGCCAGCTAGAAGAGGTACGAAATGCAGGTAAATTAGAATTGCCTATTGAAATGGAAGTTTTGAGAGAAAAATGAATGCGGGCCTAAAATGATTATAGAGGGTTCTCCACTGCCACGTAAACAGATAATTCAAAACAACCTTTGCACTTGCCTGGGAAAAATCGTATCCAGCGCAGTGGGAAAGATGAGCTCACGGTCCCACATGTAAATGACCCAGAACGAGAGGCACACGTTGTGAGCGACTGGAAAGGCAAAGGCGGCAAAGACATAGTCCCTCGCCGATCTCAACCTGGACTTTGTAACCCCAGTGACCCGGTTGTCGCCAAAAAGATCGTTCAGAAGGGCCACTGTGTGGTAGATGGCCTGCAGAATCACGTTCAGGAAGGTGAGGTACTTGAACTTGCCACCCCAGCGCGCCTTCAGCTCATCCTCGTCCTGCAAATCCGTGGGCCAGTGCACCCGAAAGTAGTGGTAGTAAATTCCATAGGAGAACTGAGCCGCCGCCAAGAGGTGGACCAGGAATCTCAGGTACTTGAAGGCCCCATTCGTGTAGGCATCGTTGCAGGTGTCCAGCCGGGAGTCTGTGGCCTCGGCCGCCTCCTTGGCGGCATGGAATTCGCGCACCTGCTTCTTGCTTTTGCCCATTGTCGCCGGATAATAGCCGGAGACACAAAACGCACGCCGAGCAAAACAAAACAAATACAAGCTGGCGAGCAGCTGATTGGGGCCCACCACACGACTTTATAGCTAAACAGCTTTCTAAAATCCAAAAGCCTCCACATCATAAAAAATAAGTATCAAAAAAAATCGAAATCAACAACTTATACTGATCTAAAAATAGGAAATTAAGTAAAGAAATTAAAAATTTTAACATGTTTCAAGGAACAACCGCTATTTTATGCGTTTTCCCCAATACCAAATTTTTTGCGCAAGTTGGCAGCTCTTTGGCGCCCCATTTCAAAATAATTTTTCGCAGTCAATCAAGAGTTTAATCGGCTTATTACGATACTAGAATTGAATTACAGGTTGTAACACAGGTATTCAAAGAAGGTGTTGGTGTTAAAATTCCTTGATATGAGGTGGTTGGAATCGAAAACGTAACTTCACTTATCTGATTTAATAAAAAACGAAAAAACTACGGCTATAATCTCAATTACAATTCGTAATAAGAATAGAATGAATATCATTAGCAAACGGTTTTCTATATTACGTTTAAAGACTTTCACAATTCATTAGGTATGTAAAATATTATTAGCGAGTTTATCAGGCAAGATGATGATTCGATTATCAATTTTTCAGATATTTTGTGCCGCTTCTTCGGTCAACTTTACAGTATGGCATGCATAATTAATACTATCCTTCTACTATCCTGGAGATCGAACAATATGGGAAAAATCAATAACCGAAACAGGCCTGTCGTTATTTTTTATTTTGTGGCTAATTAAACGCGACTACAAGGGACAGAAACGGGGCTCAGCCTACTCCTAGTTGGATTTGCGCTTGGCCAGCTTCACCTCCTTGGCCCAGACGGTGTTGTTGAGGAACTCGCCCAGCAGATAGAGCGACAGCGTGAATCCCACGACGACCACAAAGAACAGGATGCGCTGTGGCAGCTGGAGCACCTCCAGCACTGGATAGACATAGACGCCGGAGTAGTGCTTTACAATGTGGATCCATACCAGGTAGGAGCCCATGAAGATGGTCAGAACAGCGAGTCCGTGGCTGCGTTTTGGGTACGAGCGGTACGAGATGAACAGCTCCAAGACAATGAAGACCACGATGTTGGTGTGCAGGACATGGTTAAGCCAGCTGCAAGAAACAAAGGAATGTATTACAGGTAAGCCTCTTCCCCAAGAATATATTTCTCTGTCTCAGTTTATCTAATAACTTTAAGGCAGATTATTAATGTGTACCAAGTATTCCCGTCACGTCTTCATTTTAGATCTTCATTCAAAGCTTTGACTGAACAAGATACGTGTATAAAGTGTTTAATTAGTTTTAAGTAAAATTGAAAGCCTTAACATTTAAATGTTAATGTAAATAGAAATCCCTGTGGTATACAGAAAACTAACATTTTGTATACTTTAATATGGGCTTGAATAATAATTTAATATCATCTTGAATAGGATTTGTTTGGAACTGTAATCTGATGATGAATCCTATGGATTGTTCTTAAAAGAAGTCTTGGCTGCCTTGATTCCTCTGTTTTTTTAAATCTCACCTGGGGAAGACGGGGTCCAGCACCTTTGGGAAGACCAGCTCTCTATCGATGGCGTAAAGTGTCCAGAAGGTCACGCCCACGTTGATAGCCACGGGGAAGGCCAATGTGGCCATCAGCCAGTCTTTGAACCGGCGCACCGCCGGAGGCTTCTTGGGGGTCAGCTCATTGGTGCCCACAAAATCGTTGACAAGCGATACAATATAGTACAGTGCCTGAATTATCTGTAAGTGGAAGAGCATTTGACGTGTGTGAGATAATGTGTCTGAATTTGAAGGGTTGCTTAAGTGGAGTGGATAATTCCTTCCACTTGGCCAAACAAAGTTCCACAAAGCAATTTGTAAAAAATTTTTTTGGAATTTTCAATTTGCTACTAAAATAGATTTTTAGATTTTAACTAGTGTTTCGTTTCCAAAGGATAGATTTAAAGGTACTATTCGATCACCTGTCTTTTTTTAAACCTACAATCCTAGAATTATTGGTTGGGGAATGAAAAGTTTTATTATAAGTCAAGTTATGGAATATAAAACTTTGTTAAACGAAAAACTTAGGATATATAGATTTCGTCTTCTTTTTCCGTAGTAAAAAGAAAGATTACTAGAACGGTACTACTCCATTAGCTCTCTTGAATATTTAAAAAATCGAATGAATGGTTTTTGTATTTAACTAGCTGCAAGAAATCAAATTTCCGGTATGTATTATAGAGGCCATGGAAATATCCTCTTATCACTGAATTGAACTCCAAACTTATAACCGCTTTTTCTCATCTATTTTCTCTGTGTGGCTTAATAGATGCGTGTAAACCAGTTAGACAGTTCAACAGTTCAAAGAAACAAACCGAGTGAACTTTAAGCCTTGTGTGTTCGTGTATTTAATGGGATATTACCGCATCCAAGAACGTTAAATATTTGAATTTGCCCCCCCAGGGATGATGAATCCGCATCTCTGGCCCGCTGGTGGGGAACTCTACGTAGGTGAAGTCGTAATAAATGCCATAGCTAAATTGCACGGCCGCCGTTAGGTGAAGCAAAGTCCTCAGAGCCCCGTAGACTCCCTGGTACAGGGAATTTCCTCGCACCGGTGCCATTTTCCTGCTGCAGCTGCTCTGCTCACGATTGATTTTTCAAGGCACCAAAACACAAACAAACCGGTCTGGTCCGTCACTCTGAGAATACGCGAGTAACCACCCCAAAAACGGGGCTAGCGGTGGAACAGTGTGGCCGACTTGGTACACCTCCAAAATACCAGGTGTGCAGTTATTTTTATCTTTTCGGAGGGTACCGTGTACTTGTAAAGTTTTAGAGTATACTAGACTCTGATAGAAACTATGTAACAGTGAGAAAGCACCTATAATGCGGCACTCTTTAAAATATTTAATATGGTCATCTCGCGTATGATTTATTAATTATTATTATTTATTATTGCGGTTATGGTAAAAAAGTAAAAGTAACATTTTGCAAGTCAGTTTTATTGGCTTACCGCACAAATAAAAGTAAGGAACTTAAATTTTCCGGCGAATGGAACCGTGTTGGGCATATCAAGTGTGTGGAAAATATACACGCCATAATTGAACTGTAACACCGCCGTAAAGTGGAGCAGCAATTGCACCGCCTTGTTAAAACCCGGCGATGTGGAACCTTTGCTTTTCGATTTTGTCTTGGGCTTGGCCATGTTGAACCTAGTAGTGCCAGATAAGTACTGATTATAGTATAGCCAGAGTCCAGTCACCAGCAGCAATTGTACATGACATACGTTACAGTAATCACCCACAAAATCAAAAACTGCTGTTTAATTAGTTTATAAATGTATTTATAAAATAAAATTTATATTGCTTTGTCCATTTGTAAAATCAATAACAACTACTATAAAATATAATTTGTTTAGTTTCTTCACAGAAGTTCCCTTTCATTCGTCACTTCATTTGTTTTTAAAGTTACGTTTATTTAATTGGCCAAAATGGTATAGTAAACTGAACTCGAGCGAATACTGTATGTATTTTTGCTTTCGCTTTGATACTGATAAGGAGCGCTTATCTACCACACTCTCAATCGCCGTGGTACAAAGTATTTCCACTCGAGAATAAATTGACAGAAGCTAAATTAAAATCTGAAAACGGACGCTTAATCCGCACTGGCACTCGCCTTTTCAAGAGCGTTCTATGAATAGATGTGGATACACATGAACCATATTTAAGAGCCGAGACAAAGGCTCCTCGAAATATGTTCGCAGCTAATGTCAACTATCGATTCCCAGCCCCCAAAGCACCCCCTAGTGAAGGTCAAGGAGCAAGGCCATCGCGACAAAAGGCGACGTCATTAAAGCCCCGCTAACTGAATTATCTGGTATCATTACCAGGTGCCCTTTGGTTTCTCTGAGCTTTTGTTACACGCTATTTATCGATTGTGCGTATTTAATTGACTTTCGGTTATGTCATATCCAAAAATAATCCTATGGTATCCGCCTCTAACTTATAAGTGAAGTAAACTTTTGGAGTCAACTCCTATAGCAATCTGGTTTGGAAAGTATATCATGTAATTACAACAACTATTATATTCGTTAAGGAAGAAATTTATTGAATAATCGAAACAACTTCATTGATTTTAAACAAATGTTTCTAAAATGAAATAGAAATGAAAATTTTTGTTATACATGCGGGCATATATACAAATCGTATTGCCCAAGTTAGGTTGATTTCTAGTTTTTTATTTGCCTTATTGAGAATAACCCTATTAGATGGTCTCCTCATCGGTTTCATCATCGCAGGTTTTTAAATTAATTTCACTTAGTTCCTGTTCATCCACGACACTACTGGCATCCAGATCACCCGCCTCCATTTTAGGGGCACCCAAGCATTGTTCCTGTTCCTGCGATTCTTCGGCAGATACGTCGATTGCTGCTCCATGCTCAAACATTGGATTGTCAAAGGACCGTTCCCTCACTTCACCGCTCTCCGGATCATAAGCCATTATACCCAGACGATCCACACCAGAAGCACCTCCCTCACTGGAGCCACCACCTGCTCCGCCGTTTTCAAATCGATTAAACAGCAGGTTCCTGCGTAGTCTCACACCCAAGTGACGCCATCTCCAGTACCGGGGATCATGGATCCACTGGGGTATCCTGTTTAGGTAGCGATTCTCCGGCATAAAGTGGGCCAAAATTACCACGGATACCAATCCAACCAGGGCCATGCAGAAGAGTATCAAAATGATCGAGGAGAAGCTCACATTTGGGTTGTAGGGTCGACCGGAAACCTTCAACGTAGTGCCCGATTTATTCCAATAATCGATCTGATTTTGCCAGAATTCCATGCTCCGTTCATTGTATTCAAGACGATCCCGATTCGTCACTATAGCCTCCAGGAAGTTTCCAAACTGTTGTGAGCCCACAAACTCCACATGGAGTTGGATATGATCCTTCAGACTTTCCTCGCTAATAAGGGTTCTTAATTTAGTTAGGATTTCCTTTCTACTGCCCTCTGTGCAGTGACTCGTCGGTGTGGACAGAATCGCCCCGCAAATGAGACAACAGGATCCGAAGGGTCGAACTGGAGATAAACAGTGGGGGGTTTCACACTGCTCCTGAACATTGTGGCAAACGGGCTCCAGCAATCGTTCGAAGTCCTTGTGGCAGCCACAGAGTTCTCCTCTATAATACTCTACTTGGACAGCCTGAGCATTGTGAAATAAAAACTGCCCTAAATCTCTGGTGATGAGTTGTTCCAAATAGATTTTGGAAATAGAGGAACCAGCCAGGATAAGTTGGCCCAGTCTCAGATACTGCACGTTTTCGAGATCAAAAGCCAATGGGCCGTGACCCTTAATTATAACCTGCTCGTCATCGCAGGGTATCCTATCAAGTTCCGGTATGAATCTGGAGAAATCTTTGTTGAATTTATCTGTCCAGGTGCCAGGATCAAACCATTTACTCGACTTGGGTGGCCTCAAATAGGCTTTCTTCTCTCCACTTTCACATATGGAATTTTTCTTTGAACCAAAGGTTATGGTAGATTCCTCAGCCAGAAGAATCGCCCCCTCTTTGGCGAAAACTAAACCATCAATAGATATATCCTCGGGCAAGGGCAACAAGGCTGGATAATATTCCGGAAAAACGACTAAATCCTGGGCACAAGGCAAGATGTCATCTATCCAGGCAGAGGGATGATTAAATTCTAATCCTCCATCGTACCACTTCGTGGCTTCAGCCGCTTGGAGCCAGATAAATCCCCAGATCAGCCAATGCAACCACATGATGCGAGCAAAGTGAATTCCAAACTAAATTACTAATTTGTCAGAGTATTTCACTCGTTGCTGATGGTTCATATTTGGGGGCGTTTTATTTTACCCTCTTCCCTCTGCGATTCCCTCAACTAAATTCTCGAATACCATCACAATCGCGAGATTAAGAGAAAAAGTAAACCATGGGACTGCAGATGTAAACAAGGCACCAGATACCTTGTATTAAATAGTTGGATACAATTAATCAAAATGGTTAGTGAAAACCTAAAACATTAATAGATTTTTCGAGCACAATAGCATTTTATTAGGCCCATAAATAAAAAAAAGACTTACGGATAACACGCTCCATAAATCTTTCATTAACAAAATTTCACTAATAAATCGTTCCAAATCGAACAGATTCGACGGTCCCCAGCTAACAACCATATGCAGTATCTATACCATACATGTATACTATATGGATTTGGCCTGAACATACAAAAATTTTTTCTCTTTCGCTTTCGCTTTAGCAATGCAATTGTTTGTCGGAAAATAGTTGAAGTTTATTTTTTTATTTTGAAAGCGCTGATATAAACAATTAAAACCTATCCAATGCTTGACGAAAGCCATTGGAATGCCCACAAGAAAGGCAAAAGAAAAAGAAACGGAAAGAAAAATAATTGAACCGGATGGTAATGGCACCAAAAAATACTCGTGCTTGTCGATGCAAGGGCCTACATAAAAGCAATTCGCCAAAGAATAAATTAAAAACAAGCGAGTGCAGATCTGTAGATATAAAGCACTTTATGCTCACCAGATCAAAGTATTTAGCGATTTGGGGCTAGCGGTATTAATCAAGGGCACGTATAGTCGCGCAATAATAAACATAAACATCACTGGAAAAACCGCACGGATATGGAAACTTTGAAATACTCATGTATTATTATGGTCCAAATAAATGGTAAAAAGAAAATCTGAACAAAGCTGTTAATAGAAATTAACTTTATTTACAAATAGTTTATATAAAAAACAATTATACCAAATAATATAATGTAAATAAAAGGAAATATAAAAGTTTGTTGGTCTCATCTTAGGACAATTAACCATTTTGTTTTTATATCTTTAGGAAACTTTCTATATAATTTTCAGTAGTCTTTATTTATTTAGTCATTAGTCATATTTAGAGTAAGGACCAGAACTCAAGACATATTTATTTACCTATCCGAAAAAGAAATTAGTTATTAAACGATGACAATCACTTTGTGTTATTTGTGTGTGTTTTCCTTTGTTGCCAAGTAGCTGCGAGAAAAAAGCAAAACCAGAATTTTTCGAAGCAATTTTACCGATATGTAAATGAGGCATGGGAAAACGCCAAATACCAAATCGAAGCCAACTGCTGCATATGGCACATTTACACTGGCGCCCATCAGATAATCTGGCATTCGTCAGTCCCATAAATTTGCGCCCGCACAGAGCAACAGGAATTGAAACCGAAAATCTGAAAAACCGCGAACATCTGAGCAAATAAATACTTGAGGCAAAAAAACGATTGTATGCAAAATATGTGCAACGACAACAGGGAAAGTGCAGTGCGAATAAGAAAATTCGGCAGGCGCAGCTCTTGTTTCTCCTCGATATTCCACAGTTGTTGACCCCGCCAGGCGATAAAAAAATATAAAAGTACGTACATGTTCGGAGAGGGGGCGATCCCCAACGAGCAGACAAACAAATAAACAAACATATGGCAGACATAAATGTGAACAGCGGCATACAGTCATAATAAGAACAATTTGTATTTCGCTGATTTTTCTGGTCTCGACACTTGAAAGAACCGAAGCTGGTCGCATTTCCGTCTTGTTTTTTAATTTCCCGTAATTTATCATATATCTTTCGGTAGTGGTTTCAATGGAAACATGTCTACTCACCAACGACCAATAGGACAGGAATTTGATTTTCTGGGGCAGCGATTCCGGCACCAGTCGGCGATTAAGGCTGGTCTTTAGCTTATAGCTCCTCTGGATTTCGAAAGAGCTGTAGTAGAGCCCATAGGCGAATTGGCCCAGGGCACACAGGTGTATGATTGTCACAAAGACGCGTGACTTGTAGAGCTCCACTTTGGTCATCTTGAAGACTTCTCACAGATCCTACGTGTGGAAAAGCCAAAGGGGAACTTCAAGTTACTCAAAAGAAAAAAAGTTGTAGGTATTGTATCTCATTGCAATTTGTAATAGCTTTAACCAATAATTTAATTTCAAATTTTCAATCAAATTTGCGTATAACATTTTTTTTAATCTTTTCAAAGGACATTTAAAAAGTTTATTATCATTTTTTGTTTCATTGAACTTAAATTTTTTGAAAACTTAGTCCATGGAAACCGACATTTAAATAATGTTTGTTCTATGCATTGCAATGGCTGTGCAAGTTCTACAATAGAAAAGAAGAAAACACAAAAGAGACGTCGCCAAGGTGTTTATGGCCCTTAAGTCGACACCTCGCGTTCGTCAACGTAAAGCAGGCACAAATATTAATCAATATTTGCGTCACCGACATAAATATTTAAGCCCCTAAAATTAAGACAGGAATTGCTCAAAAAAAATGTAGAATATCTCAACTGCACTAAAAGAAGTTCCCCCGCGGGTCTTGTTTATAAATCGGCTATGTTCATAATTTGATGGTTTTATGGCCCTTTAAAACAATTGTTGATTGTTTCACATTTGATTTGCACTCTCTAAACCAATCACCAGGTCTCGGACACCCGCACGCTTGGTATTTTTCCTGATTTCTTTTTGGCTTTGCTCGGGGGAATAGGTCGACTGCGATTTTCCCTTGACCGCGGGCACAACTGAGCGTATGGAAAACTGGAGTCGCACTGGATGTTGCCCATACGCCGTGTTGCCCCCTGCCTTTTGTGCTCGGTTAGCATTGTACTTGTGCTGTTGCTTCTGTTTCTGCCTCGGTTTCTCGGTTTTGTGGTGTCGGTTCCTCCATTTGTTCGCGTCAGGTGCGTGTTGCGCATGTCCGGACTATGGACTCCGGTTTTCGCATTCCGGGCGTCGGATCCGGATTCGGGAGTGTGGGCTCCATGTTTATGCGTTAATGATGGCCAATCACCTGAATGAATCGCCTTCACCCACACAACAGCCCGTCACAATTTATCTTGTTAGGAAATAACTAGATTAGAGCCATGCAGTTATATCCAAGAAGATACATTTCAGGGCGATAAGAATCTTGCTTTATATTTAAAGAGTACACATGGCAATTGCGTCAAAGCAAAAGATAAAAAATATATAAAAACAAATAGAGCGTATTTAAATATAGATAGCAGTTCGGCGCGGACTTTTATCGATAATAAATGTGCCTTACTCGATAATAGAAACTACAAAAATTATTAAAGTACATCAAATTGTAAATTTTCAAAATCATTAAAAAACTTTTATTTTTTTAAATTATTTTGATGTTAAAAATGTTTACAAATGTTGCCTAACATATGAAATTATGAAACTAGCTGTTGTGCCATTGACTGTATACATTTTAAGATTGTTCTTATTTGGGGACATTTTTTTCTATGCAAATATTTTAATTTAAGAAGTGTGTTTTGATGCTATTGGATATTTTGGTCTATTAAAAGTTAGGAATGTGATTGTGATTTCTATAAATTCACAAAATAAAGCTTACCCATTTAAGTACGATTTTGAAAATCGATTGCTCCGCTCTGCAACTGCCAAGAGGGAAAAGTGGGATTCCGTAAACTGGCCACTCTCTTCCTAGTTTCATCTTGCTAGTGTTTTTCTTTCAAATTTAATGTCATGTCGTAACCCGAAACGTCTTAGAAACGGTACCCAAATTCTCAGTGCAGGCATTTTCGGTGGAAAACTTCAACTTCAGATCAACACGTAGTCATGTCAACTGCCTCGAGGGTGACTTTGGGCATGGCAGTCACCGTTTCCACGGCCATCATAGGTTATGTGCACTATAAACAATCGGCAGACCGGTAAGTGAGTCGTATATTCCTGAGGGAATCTATGTTTAACCTGTGTACTTCCACTTGCAGACTGAGACTCCACGATGGTGTCTTGCGGGATGTGGAACAGCAGCAGCGGCGGAAGCACGAAAACACCTACACGCTGCAGCAGCAGATTGACATTACCAAGCAACTGAAGGCCAGAGAGGCATCCAGCCACTCCTCTGAAACGCCCACACCTCCATCGAAAACCCCCTCGCAGGGAAACCTCCAGGCGGAGACAGATGCAAATGCGTCACAAAGAGACCTGGAACCCGAGCTTCAGCAGCCGCAGCCTGGAGCCGAGGGTTCCGGTGGCGTTTCACAGGCTGAAGACAATTCTGCTAGTCCTGATGCCGTCAGCCCACCATCAGACGAAGTTTGACCACCGAAATGCCTTTCCATGTGCACTTATTACATACTGTAAGACTAACTCGGGTAAAAAGATTGCTTTTGTTATAAAGGTTAAAGCTTTACGTCGTTTTGTTTATCTTCGATATCTTGATTTTTTTGGACGGAGAAGGGCTAGAATAAAAGATTTCCTTGTTAAATAATGCCATTTTAATGATAAATATCTTTCGTCTGCTGTTATTAATAAGTAAACCTATCTGTATTTTAAGGTATCCTAAAAGTGAAGGGATCTTTATTATTGTTGTAAGAAAATCTTGAGACTTAACCATTCATCAGTCTAAAACCCTTTAGTCTAGTCTCTAAAAGCTGCTATGATCAAAAGTTAAAAGAAATTATATAAATACATAAATATAATATAAATATTTGGATTCGATTTTATCAGTATGCCGCCACTTTAAAAACATAAATTTGCATGTGTTTTCTCTATTTTTTTAAGTAATTTACTTAAATTTTAAATGGCCCTAATTCAAGAGCTGATTTGCGCAATGGCAGCGGCAAGTTAGCTTAGAAAAGCCTAATTAATCATATTCATATGTGCTAAGTCCAGAAGGAAACTTCAGTTCCAGTGTGTAACACAAGAAATACAGAATATTTAATGAATACCTAACTTATAGATAATTAAACTATGGCTTACAGTAAAATAAGTCAGTACAATAAGTCAATTTTTGCTCTAATCATTGTATGTTGTGTACCATACGTACCTTTTTTTTCATGACAACTACAATCCAGCTTCCTTTTTTTCTGTATACATATAGTATTACTCAATTTTATTATTACGAATGTGTGTATAGTAAATTACAATTCTAATGGGCGCTCGGTAAAGTATTTCGCGGGGGGTTTGTACATAGGTGGTGGTAGAACACCCCATCATTCTTTTCCTTCCTCCTCCTCTTCTCGTCTCTCCTCCGAAGTGATATTAAAAACGTGGAAAACTAACGCAAAAAATAAAATACACGATACGTTTTTGCTTATCGATTGCTGTCTCTCTCAGTTGTTACCGTGTTGAAAAAATGTCCAGGATATTTAATACCGTCCACCGCCGCCGCCGCCACCACCGCCTCCTCCTCCTCCGCCACCACCGCCGCCGCCTCCTTTACGGCGATCGCGATCGTTGCCGCGATCATTGCCGCGCATGTTGTCCCGCTCGTTGTTCAAGTAGTTTCCTCCGCCAACGCCGTCGCCCCTTCCGCCTCCGCGTCGCCCCGGGGATCTTGACCTGCTGCGGGATCCCCGACGGCGACCAGGGGAGCGGGAACGGGAGCGGGCTCGGCGGCGGCGGGAGTAGAGGTACCGCCTCAGCTCCCGAGAAATGGGCTTCAAGTGCATGAAATTGCAGAAGCCGGAGCGGGTGCACTCGCCCATCTCGTACTGTCGACAGCAGGCCTCGCGGAAATCGGTGACTGGTGACAGTTCCGAGTAGACCGGCCGTCCACCGAACCACCGGTTATTCAAATCGTTTGCCGCCTTCTCCGCATCTGCCTCGTTCCGGAATTTGATGTAGACATTGCCGACCAGGTGATCGCCCAAGTTGTCGCACACGTTCATTTCCTCGATCTCGCCGTATTTGTCCTCGCACTCGACGAACACGTCCTCGAAGAAGTTGTCGTAGTGCTCCTGCATCTCCTCGTCGGAGACATTGGCCACCAGATGGGAGCCGTCCGCGGATTTGGCCGAGTTCTGGGGATTCACGTATAGATTCTGGAGCAGCACCGTCTGCGAGAAGGTGGGCTTGTTGTGGATTCTCGAGCACCGGTCGCCGTGGCGGCAGGCGCCGATCTTGAAGTAAAACGAGCAGTTAACCCTGTCGAATGAAAAGCAATTAAGTCATTTTTCCCGGGATAATAAATATGCCATGCGACTCGACTCACTTGTCCTTTTCCGTGCCAAAAATGGATGCCAAGTACTCGGCCATGGTGGCGGCTTTGCTGTGTTGTTGCTGCTGCCAAAATGTGTAACTTCGCTGCGCGCTTGCCTCTGCAACGCGTTTGAACTGCAATTATGTGCACCGCCCGTTTATTTGCAGCCTATTTTCAATTATTTTCGGATGCCGCACGTAAAAAAGCAGCGTCTGGTCGTATTTGCACGGCGTTGCCAGCTTTGAATCAGAGCTACAACAAAAATCGATGTTTCTTCGATACTATCGATTATGTCAGTTTTTAACAATCGATATATAAAAAAGAAACACCGAATTTCTTGTCAAATTTTTTTAAAGAAAAACCTACAATAATTTTTTTATAAGCTTCCGATTTTTTGATAATTTAATTAATTAGATTGTAGAAAAATCTGTATTCTATAAAGAAAACCTGAGTCTTCGCATATGTGCAGCCAAGTTCTGAACCACGGTTTAAAAAAAACACCAATTTCAATCGATGCTACATTGACAACCCTGGAGATTTACTTCTAGAAAAGTCGGCATTTTTCGCATTTTAACCTGGCACGACTCGCAGCGTGTTTTACTCAGCAATAAAAAAGGAAACAAGGACAGTGAATAGCCACCGTCATCCGCTCCGCCAGCAGAAATGGACAAGGTAAGCAGTCGGGACAAGGGAATCGCCACCTAAAGCCATTGCTGTTTTTGCAGGTGAACGAACTGAAAGAAAAGGGCAACCAGGCGCTAAATGCCGAGAAATTCGACGAGGCGGTGGCGGCGTACACAGAGGCCATCTCGCTGGACGGCCAAAACCATGTGCTCTACAGCAACCGATCGGCGGCATTCGCCAAGGCCGGTAAGTTCCAGGAAGCCCTGGAAGATGCGGAAAGGACCATCATCCTGAATCCCACCTGGCCGAAGGGTTACTCACGCAAAGGAGCCGCCGCTGCGGGTCTGCATGACTACATGAAGGCCTTTGAAGCGTACAATGAGGGTAAGTCCAGGTTCAGACTATGTGCCATATGTAGTAATGAATCACCCTAACCTCACTTTGGTTACTCAAACAGGTCTCAAGTACGATCCGCAGAATGCTATACTCCTGCAGGGTCGCCAGGATATCACTGCCTCGGCCTTGAACTTCATGCAATCGCATGGGGACATACCCATGGATGTTGATCCTCAGCAGATGCGCAGCCGAAGGGCCCCATCGCCTCCGCCTGCGAAAGCACCTGAGCCCCAGAAACCCGCTGAACCACGAGTGGAGGACATGACAGAGGAGCAGAAGAAGAAGTACTTTGCCAAGAAAGAGAAGGAACTGGGCAATGCCGCCTACAAAAAAAAGGACTTTGAGACGGCCCTGAAACACTACAATGCTGCCATCGATCACGATCCCACAGATATCACTTTCTACAACAATATTGCTGCCGTTCACTTCGAGCGCAAGGAGTTCGAGGAGTGCATTAAGCAATGCGAAAAGGGCATCGAAGTGGGACGCGAGAGTCGCGCCGACTTTAAACTGATAGCCAAGTCCTTTGCCCGCATCGGCAACACCTATCGCAAGCTGGAGAACTACAAGCAGGCGAAGGTGTATTACGAGAAAGCCATGTCCGAACACCGCACGCCGGAGATCAAGACCTCGCTGAGCGAGGTGGAGGCCAAGATCAAGGAGGAGGAGCGAACAGCTTACATCAATCCAGAGAAGGCCGAGGAGGAGAAGGAGCAGGGAAACCACTTCTTCAAGAAGGGTGACTACAGCAATGCTGTGAAGCACTACACCGAGGCCATCAAGCGCAACCCGGATGATCCCAAGCTTTACAGCAATCGTGCCGCCTGCTACACCAAGCTGGCCGCCTTCGATCTGGGCCTCAAGGACTGCGACACTTGCATCAAGCTGGACGAGAAGTTTATCAAGGGCTACATCCGCAAGGGAAAAATCCTGCAGGGCATGCAGCAACAATCAAAGGCCCAGGCCGCTTACCAAAAGGCCTTGGAGCTCGACCCCAACAACGCAGAAGCCGTAGAGGGCTACCGCCAGTGCTCGATGAACTTCCAACGAAATCCGCAGGAGGTTCTTAAGAACGCCATGTCCGACCCGGAGATCCAGCAAATTCTGAAGGACCCGGCCATGCGCATGATTCTCGAGCAGATGCAGAACGATCCCAATGCGGTCAAAGAGTAAGTACTTGTTGAAACTCGCGGAGCATGAGTAACCCGCTACTCGGTTCGGAGACTTAAAACTTTCGGTTTTCACGGTGTGCAAGCCCACTTGAATTTAATTAGCATTTATTAAATGCTTTGAGGCCTTGAGTTTTAAATTCGAAAAGGCTTATGGTTTAATTTTGAGACTTGGATTTTAAATTTTGCAAGGTTATATTTGAAACTTTTTGAAGGAATGAGAAAATATAAAGGGGCGTAAATTAATTTGTATACCTCAGCACTTTATATTTAAGGTCCTTATATAAAAATCATTAAATACTCATATAAATCTAGAATTACATCCCTATTTCCTCGAGTATCTGGTACAAATGTGTTTGAACTCGCTTTTAATAAACCACTTTTTATTTGCAGACACTTGCAGAATCCAGCCATCGCCGATAAGATAATGAAACTGCTGGAATCGGGAATCATTCAGATACACTAGGCACTCCGCCCCCACAAGCACACACACTCACTAACTCACACAAACCATATTGATAAACATTCAGGAGACAAATTCCCTATAATATGCATTATAAAAAAATGTATGGCACCTCTAAGCTGGTTAAATAATCGTTTTTGATAAAACGGGCCACAATTAATGCTAAACGTAATTACCTTAGAAATCGCAACGCCTAAACGCAGAACGACGATAACTACCACTAACTAATGAAATAAAAACTAAAAGGAAAAAACAAAATCATTGATAAATGTCTGCCTAGTTGATTTACGCAGATGGATGGAGTAGCCTCCAAACGTCAAGGTCCTTATTTTCTTACTACAATAAATATGCTGTAGCTTAGCTCTAAAATAAGTTTTTGAATGTAAAATAAATGAGTCAAAGAATGGTAGCCAATGACTTTGAATTTCCCGCCCAAGTGTTGAAAATTTTGCAACGCCCACAAAGAGTGTCAAGCATTAACATCTGGTTATCATCTTACGTTTTTTCAAGGGCCGCCAAATTAATTAAATACCTAATTTAAAAATTATTGAATTTATATAAGTTTTGATAGAGATCATTTGAAATAAAAATAAATTTATTAAAGACATAATTTAAACTTTTCAGCAGTTCATAAGGAATATATTTGCATTCCATCAAACTATTGGTGCTCAAACAATTATAATTAATATTAAAATTCGATGCTAACGTCATTAGCCCCAACCGTTACGTAGTTTCGCCATGGCCAACACAGGAAACCGCCAGTGTTGGCAAGGTCCTGCTCTCAGCAAGTGGCATGGCAACAACAGCGCTGTCCAACACTGCACGATTTCTACTCAAGAAAATTATGGTGTGCTGATATATTGTGATTAAACCCCGATTTCTGTCGTCCAAAAGTGCCGTACGTGAATGTTTTGATCCAGCTATGGTTGAGAAATTTCCACGCCAACGATAAGATCCGAAAAGAGCGTAAAAAGCACAAAAATTCGAACCTTAAGCCAACCAATTTTTTTAACTAGTGTGTCGTAGTGTCCATCGTGTGCTTGGTGTTGGTGCGTATATGCGTGCATGTGCGTCGGTGTGTGTGTGTCAGTGTTCCGTCGAATCGCGAAATCAAGAATATAGAAAGATGTGTTCCATTCGCTGGTGGTGGTGAGCTATAGCTATATAGCGAATCGAGAAGCGAGTAGTCCCCGCAACCAGAAATCCATTGTTTTTTGGTCCACCTTTCCAGCATCCGCATCGCAGGAATTTCAACTCATTTAAAAACCGCTAGAAGAGTTACAAAAAGTGAGTATTTGCGTTTCGGGGCGCTTGGCAACAGGCCCGAGCACGTTAGACCGAGAGAGAGATAGTGGGGCGGATGGGGGCGAGAGTGAGAGCGAGCCGGGACGCCAGCGATTACATGCCTCGTTTTTACACCGAGTTGTTGTTGCTTCTGTTGGGAGCAATATGTGGGCAATATCAAATTGGGAAGCAATAACGCTCCGTGCCATTGATTCCTTGAGAGACGAGTAGAGAGTATACTTTTCGCAGCTGATTAGGTCCAATGTTTAGCCAAATTAATATCATCATAGGATTGGCAGAAGTTTGCTTGGTATTAGTATGTTGCTTTATAGTCTCTGATTCAAGATACAATCATTAGGAGCTAATGGAATTAAGTATAAAAGCTTAAAGATATTTTGCTGCAAAACCCCGAATTACATACCGGATTTAACTCCCGATAAGTTATTTCTGCTATTCTGATGGGATTTTCTTTTAGTCGGAAAACGAGCTTGAATTTAAAAACTTAATACAATTTTAAGAGGGAATAAAGCAAATATATTATGATTTAGTCTCTAAAATAAGATTCATAACTTCATGCATACTTTTCTCAAATATATTAGATCGTGTCCTCCACGTAGGATTGCTAATGCTACAAATGTGTTGTATTTTTCAGTGCAACCTTCCCCGCTGCACTATTCGACCATGCGGCCGCAGGCGCCCGGATCGCTGGTCGATCCCAACGAAGACGAGCTGCGCCTGGCACCCTGGTACTGGGGCCGGATATCCCGGGAGGTGGCCAAGAGTATCCTGCACGGAAAGCCTGACGGCAGCTTCCTGGTGCGTGACGCGCTCTCCAAAAAGGGCGAGTACACATTGACCCTGATGAAGGACGGCAGCGAGAAGCTGATCAAGATCTGCCACATGGAGCGCAAGTACGGGTTCATCGAAAAAAATCTATTCAACTCGGTGGTGGAGATGATCAACTACTACAAGGAGAACTCTCTAAGCATGTATAACAAGGCGCTGGACATAACGTTGAGCAATCCCATTGTGCGAACCTGCGAGGACGATGAGTCCCAGCCGCACGGGGATCTCTGTCTGCTGAGCAACGACTTTATTCGTACCTGCCAGCTGCTCCAGAACCTTGAGCAGAATCTCGAGCAGAAGCGAAACTCCTTCAATGCGATTCGGGAGGAGTTGCAGGAGAAAAAGATGCACCAGAGTGTCTTTGGCAATGCGGAAACGATATTCCGCAATCAAATCAAGCTCAATGAATCCTTTATGAAGGTCCCGGCCGTCGGCCCGTCAACTGAGGCGGGAGGTCCCGGAGATGCAAGCCCCGGGTCCGCATCCGCTGCGGCCAATGCCAACACCCGTCGGAGTCTGCAGGAGAACAAACAGAGCCTCCTCAACCTGCTCGAAGTGCTTCAGGCCAAGGGACAGGTCCTAAACCAGTACATGGAAAACAAAAAGAAGGAGGAACTGCTGCTTGAGCGACAGATCAACGCCCTTAAGCCGGAACTCCAGGTATTGCAGTTGCGGAAGGACAAGTACATTGAGTAAGTTCATTTCTTAAAACTTTTCACAAATACAAGCATATAAATGTACTCACTTTAAAAAAAGCATTGCATAAGGTAGCGATAGAAAATATTCCTTTTTATTGCAATTATATATCGCTTCAGTTGTTTTTGACTGTAAACTGTTTTAAACTTTTTAGTATTTGTTAACCGAGACCATTTTTTAACAGCGTGTCAGGGCATTTTTCGGCAGTATGACTAACCTTCAACCATTTATAATGGAATATTGGTCTACTGGTTTTGTTTATAACAAATGCTTAAGTGAAAATCCTATGAGAAATAAATAAAAACAATCCCAAAAACTACGTCAATAACAATTTACAATTGCAAGTTGTAAAATCAGCTTGAACACAAAGGATCTCTTACACAAAAGGTCGCATAGAAACGACTATCCACAAAATCAGGACATCGAAGATGAACGGGATTGAGAATACCCCTTTGCCACATGATTGCAGTTTGCAGTTTTCAGTCAGAGGAAAGGAATTTTAACGCTCCCCAACGGTTCTGGTTCATTTTACAAGCGTCTCAGACGCCGATCACTCATTCGGTCGGAGTGTCGGCAGTTCGTCTGACTGATACGATACGATACCGATTATAATGGCATAACAATGTTAACGGAACCCGCTTCCGCCCGCTCATCTCCCGAATTCTCCACGCCAGCGAAGCGTCTACGTGCCTGACCATTCGCCTTTTCCATTTACCCCTGTCGTGCAATTTTCCTATAATACAGGCCGGCTTCTCAGGGATTACTAACTAAAATATATCACAGGAAAACTTACGCTCTTAATGACTTCGAAATCAAATAAAATACTCCAAAAGCAATATAACTTTGAAAGTTACAAGGTTCGACCCAGTAAACAGCAACTGTAAGAACATTTATTCCTTGCTGGAGGGGACGACAAGTAACCCCTCCCGAACTGGAATATATGAGAACCTTATCCCACCTTTCTTATCTGCGTGATTTGCAACTCTTGGATTTTCGTCTCCAAATCAAAGCTTTTATCGGATTGCTATGTGCAATATTTGTTTGTATTTGGGTAGTATATATTATTTTGCCTTATCAAGGTCATTTCGAGTGGTGGTGACTTTTAAACGTTGAAGAATTTATTTCAAATATTTAGATAACTTTATCGTCTGTTTATGGATATGCCTTAACATTTGTGAAATTGTTATTTGCATACCAAGGACACAATAAAACTGTATTTATTTGATGAATAATGTTTTTTTAATAGATTAGTATGTACAAGTTAAGTCTTTTGTTATATAAATTTAACTTAATAATTTCTCAGTGCTACATTAGAATTAGGTTGGTAATTGGAAATAAATGATCCTTTTTATTCTGGAAAATAAGTATTTATTCCGGCAATTTACGTAGAATTTCAAGCACAATTTGCTGAGTCTTTTTTTTAAACGGACCACATGAGGTATTTCATCTCCTTATTCTTTTTGTGATTAGCGAAACTTGTTCACTTCTTTGGATCCATCTCCGCGCTTCCCACAATCTCCGGACGTTCGGTCTAGGGCGAAAACCAAAAAGCAAAAAAATGACTTTCGCCTAGCAACAGGCCTTTACACTTGGGAGTACGTCATCGTTGGATGAGTTTACTCGGCTCTATGGTTATAACCTAGAGTGTGGAAGCGCGAGTGTCAGCGAAGGAAAAGTGGCAAGTAGAAGGAGGGAAGAGGCCTCTAGATAGGGCTAGCGCCTTGCTAAAGATAGCTACGCTTATCAGGCATTAAAAGTCTGCCGAGTGCTTAATAATTCTCTCTGAGCTTCTTCTCTTCTATATACCCCATGTCTCTCTCTGGTCTTTGCAAACCTTTGCTTGAGGCCAGCAGGCTTTTGTGTCTCCAAACTTATCGAGATTAGACGTTCACCGTCATGAGCTAAAAGCCTTCAAGTCTCCTGCTCTCCCACTTTACCACGACCAGATTAGATAAAGGTCTTTTGGCGGTGCTATCTTAGTTTGTCCTATCTTAGTTTCATCGCTTCGAAGATTCATGATATCACCCTGCCTTACGCTTATCGCGCCTTTGCGACTTAGTCACTTGGATAGCCAGCCAGCCGGCCAACAAAGAGTCCCCCTGATTGCCTGATCGTCTCATCGTGATGCGGAAACCAACGAGTCTAGACTTTCGTAGACCAAACGGCGGCCGGATCACGGCAGTCGCATTTGGTTATCAAGAGTTTCGCCGTCAGTTGAAATTGCAAACGGGTAGATGTTGCATCTATATCAGGGAAAATCAAACTTAATGGCTAGTCATCGATACCTCCTCAATAAAAATTAAATTAATTTTGTAATTTTAGGTGAACAAAAATATCAATAGCTTTTTTCTTTTTGAAAACGTCATTTAGTAAAATAAATTTCATTTCGAAATTTAATTAAATTGGAAACGTCTATATAAATTTCGAACTGATTAGATATGGAGCCATCGTCATGAGGGTAACCCGAATTAGTAGCAGATTAGCCACGCCTAGAAGGTCACGTACACCACGCCTCCATAAAGTTTGTGTTCAATATATTTGCGAAAAATGGTTTTTAAAACCAATAATTTGTTTCCAGTTCTCTCCAGGAAAAGTTTTGACTGTACTGAAGTTTTACATATCTTACACCATATTCCACAAAAAAATTTAAGTTTAGTTTGGACAGTCGTTTTCTCTTACTGCACGTAAAGTGACTACTAATGTGTTCCTTAATCCTTTTTTCTTAGAAAACTTTCTTTTGTAATGCCAAACACATTGTGTAAAAAATATGTATGAGCTCCACTAACTTTCGGTCACAAATTCTTGTTTTCCTTTAGGCGTCTGAAAGGCTTCAACCTCAAGGACGACGATCTAAAGACGATCCTCGAAATGGGCTTCGACAAGTGGTTGCAGCACTACGAGACAGTGTCAAATCAGCCCCACAGCAACGAATCCCTTTGGCTGCTGAAGGATGCCAAGCGCCGAGATGCGGAGGACCTTCTGATAGGATCGCCACCGGGCACTTTCCTGATTCGGGCGAGAGATGCGGGTCACTATGCTCTGTCGATTGCCTGCAAGAGCACTGTGCAACATTGTATTATTTACGAGACGGAGAGCGGTTTTGGATTTGCCGCCCCCTACAACATATATCCATCGCTAAAGAAGCTGGTGGAGCACTATGCCAACAATTCGCTGGAGGAGCACAACGACACGTTGACCACAACGTTGCGCTGGCCCGTTTTGTTCTGGAAGCAAAATCCACAGCAGATCTTGGCCCAGTTGCAAGAGGAGATGGACCTGGAGTACGAGCAGGCGGCCACGCTAAGGCGGCCAATGATGGCCAGTAGTGTTCCGATTCCAACGAGTCGGTCCCGGGATCACGATCAGGTGGACGGATTGGGGGGCCATGAAACGGAGACTCCTCCCGCCTCCATTTCACCCTCAAGTTTCAGCACTTCGCAGTAGGAGCCGCGCATCTATTGTCCCGTTGAACACGCCCCCAACCTCAGGCTAGCTATCTATTTCTCTAAATCTAGTTTGCTCCAAAGCCCTAACTCTCTCTATCTCTAGATATAAACCCGGTTGCGGTCTAAATAATAGCATTGCAGGCTCTGTTGAAAGCCTAAGTCTTTCTTAAGAATGCCTTACAAGTCACACAATTTCATTTTAGGTTCAAAGTTAAATCATTAAGCAAGCAGCTTTCTTTTCGAAAGAATCGCTTAGCAAGGGCTGTTTTCGATTACTTTAACATGTATTCAAATTAGTTGTTTAATAAGCCCAACTGCCAAGATAATATTTTCAACTGAAAAAACGTTCCCTGTCACAACATTATCTTCTTACCTTAGATGTTTCAGCTCTTAGAGTTTCGATATTAATTAATGAGAGTTCAAAGAAAACCGAATTACTAGTAAGAGTTACTGTTGCAGTGCTATTATTTCGGCCATTATCGAGTATGTACATCGCCATATATAGGCTACATATGCTATATATCTATGAATATTTTTTGTGTGTGATGGATGGCGCTGGCAGTCCAACTGTCCCCCGCCTTCCCCTCAGAATCAGAAGGCTATAAAAACAGAAAAAAGAAACACAACCGAGTAAAAATTTGTGGTGATTATGTTTTAATGGCTTGCTAGAAGCTTTTGGTCGATGAACGAAAATTTCTAATTGAGCAAGTAATCTTAGTAATATTACAAGTATGATTAATTTTATATACATACTTATATACATATATATTTTTTGTAATACTGCATTTCGCGTGATAATTGATAAGTCAAGCTATCTGTTGTTGTATCAGCTCCCTCTCCTGTTTCCCTTATAATTATTGTTATCACGCTGCGCGTTGTCACAAGGGGCGGGGAAGGATCGTGAAGAAATTTTCTGCATTTCTTCAGCGCATTTATTCGTGTTCATGTAAATATTCTAAAAGCGAAACAAAGGAGCAGCCGCTGGCGAAACGTTTGCGAAATCAGGTTAAGGTTTTGATAACCGACACCCGCAACCACCTTGCGCCCCACCCCTTGCTCTAATATTTGTTGTTATATTATGATTGATTCGAAGTAGTTCTAAGTGAAATCTACGTACGTTTACTGCATGTGATCAGTTGAGTGTTGCTAAAATAGTAATTTCCCTTAAATTGTTTTTTTGTTTGGTCAATAAGAAAGCTTTAACTTTCATAAAAACAACCACACGTAACACATAAACACTGAGTTGAAACAAAGAAAATATGTACAAAGAACAAAAATTAATTCAAGAGAACTTCACACACAAATACAAAAAAAAACAGCAACAAGCTAAACAAAAACAAAGTGCAATCGAAAATGTAATAATTAAATTTTTAATATTTATTAATTTATACAAGGAAAGAAACAGGAAAAAAGACAAATAGTTGCCCATACAATAAACCGCTGCAATAGGCAAAAACGCTGATTAAGTTTTCATTTTACTCAACTGATATTTAGCATTTAAATAGGAATGCAAGTTTACCCACCTGTTAGGCGTTTTTTTTTAAATATTCTTTCCTTATGAAATTATATTTCATTAACTACAATAAACCTCGTTTTTTATATTTTTGCCTAAAATTACAGCTGCAAAATAATTACTGCGAATTTTTTGTTTAACGTTAAAATTGTTTTTGGGAATGGGTATTTTTTTGATTTCCCTTGTTCTCTTGTGCCACTCTAATGATCTAAGCCAGTTGAAAACCTTTCAAGCTTCCTGTTTGCATTCTCCTTAAATCGGTATTGAATTCGAGCGATCCACTAACAAGCACACACAAACCCTGGGGCGTTTTTCAGATATTTCTATATATATATAATCATTAGTTTATACTTTACGTGTAATTCTTAATTTAATTTATTTAAATTGTAACTTGTGTGTTTCATTTTGCTTAAATTCTATGAGATTTTGGCGGATCTCGTACGTTGTAGTATTTATAAGTTTTAATTTTAGTTTGTAAAATGCGTTTCAAACAAAAAATAACACACAAAAAATAATAAAAACGAAAACAAAACAAAAATAAGAACAAAAAGAGAGCAAGTAGCAGAGGAGGATTAAATGTATTCAAAATATGATTGATCGACATCATCAACTATGATTGAAAACTGATAGAAGATGACTTTTTGCCATACCTAAATGTTAAAAGGAAATATTTGTGTGTGAAATTTTCTATCTCTGCTTCGCGTCTGCATTATTGGCGTAGATCGGAACAAGAAGACTTAAAAATTAAAACAATGGAAGGCGACGAAACTAAATGTGAAACGAATTGCAAATTTGTTGTATTTTTTTATATGAATATATTTATGTATATATATATAAATATATATATAGATATTTACCCACACATACCTATTAAATATGTATGCTCTAGAATGCTATATGTTGTAGATCTTTAAGTGCTAACAGTAACCACAACTGAAACAACAGCAACAACCATTTTTTGTAGTAGTTTTTTAAAGAGATGAAAGAAATCGAAGAAAACATTGTACGTATTTGTATTTGTGTCTAAGAAAAATGTTCGTAAATAACATAAACGAGAAAAAACCATAATAAAATCGAAAGAAAAGCAACATCTACAAAAAGTTTTAACCGATTCTTTAGTTGTAATGGAGTTTTTCCTCAGGTTTCATAAATATTTCGCTGTGGGTTATGCTTTCAATGAACCTTTGACGACTGTTATCCGCTGAGCTGGGCAAAAAGCTATCGCAAAAATAAAACAAAACAAAAAAGAAAAGCGAATATCACGAGTCCGACGATGGTTCGGAGGTAAACATGCACTTCATAAGTGTCTGGCTTCAAATTTTGCGGAAATCGTATTAGACTGACCTGGATATCATACAGCCTATGTTTTTGAGCCCTTGATCTTCGAACTACCAGATATATCGGGGCTGACAAATTCTGCAATGGTATTTTTAAAGTTAAAATGGTTTTAAGATCGTAAGAGGGTTAAGATCGTATTCTACAAACCTGCTCCTAGAAATAATCAATCGGTTTGAAAAGTCAAAAACAACCATTTAGTCTAGGGAAATATATATCTTAGTATGCCAATGGACTTTTGGGTGCTTTTAACTTTCTCGTATGATATATGTAATAATCCCTTCCCTAAGCGAAAGGCTTGTTAGTTGACTTTTCAAATCGATTGATTTTTTCTAGGAGTAAGTCGTTTGTAGACAGCATCATTGCAAGTGAGTATCGTTACCAAAGTCCTTCTTATCTTTAACTTTAATCTATTTTGAGGAGATCTGGGGCTTGGCATTATCTTTTTATACGATCTTTACGCTTTCCTGGCCGCTCAAAGTCATAGATCCGAATAGCTTTCTTTCCTTAATCTTAACAAACGAGTTTTTGACCCTGCCTATAAAAGATTACTTTATTAAACCATGAGGTTGATTTTGTAAAGTCAAACAACTTTTCCTTTAATTTAAGGCACTAAAAAGATCTTAGCTTTAAAGTTTATCATTTGGAGTAAAGAGGCGATAAAGTTTTTACAAAATAGTTAATTAAATCCTAAGTGTGCCAATAATTTTGTAAGTAATTATTTCTAAAATAATTTTATATTTCATTTAAATGTCAGCATATTAGATAAAGAAAAACATTCTTAATGTTCAACAAGCTAGTAGTGCCAATAATAAGGGCGTCACTGTATATAGTTACCGATGTGCCTGTTCAAAAAGCCAGCTGATCACTGTTAAAGCGGACCAGGGCCGGAAGAGTGGGCTTTTAAGGGCTTAAAAAAAAAACTACAACCATAAACCTAAATTTGTTAAAAAATAGATATATTTATTAAAACGTATTTTGTCTAAGTATTGATAGAATAGTCCAAAGCTTTGGGTAAAAAATATCTGAATTTCTATCTTGCCGACAGCTTAATTGTCAACTCTAGCTGGTATTTTTTAACGCTCCCGTCTACGGCCACACTAACAAACGATTTAGTGGAGTGGTGCATTTTTTTACTCGCGGTCGCGTTTTTGGTCTTTCTAGTTTTTTTTTAATATTTTGAATGGTTGACAAGTCTCCGGGGTATTTCGGTGTTTTTGGTTGCAGAAATGCAAACGGAAACGATAATAAATCAGTGCAAAAGTGCCGCGTGTCAGACACAAAAAAAATAAACCAAAACAAATTCAACGTGTGACTTTGGGCTTTGTATTTGTTAGGAGATGTTGCAACCAAAAACAAACAAAACAAAAACAGCAACAACATCAGGAATTCCCGCAAAAATCTCACCAAACTTTAGTTTAATTGCAAGGCAATAACAATTGTTTGATTGTGTCTGATTTTTTCTGCACAATTACTTCATAACAGAGTGTCGTTCTCTCGCTCGCTCCGGAAAAGCTCCGCTTTTGGCCCTGTCTCTCTTGCTCAGGTAATTAAATGTATTTAAATTTATTAATCTGGCAAAAAGCAATCGCCAAAAGTGCATGTGTGCGTGTGTCCGCAGAAAAATGAACCAAAATTTTAGAACGCAAACATATTATTAAATAACACGGCATTAGTGAAAAAAGGAGGCAGGTGGCCATTATCTTTCTCGCTCTCTCTTAGTGGATCGGCTTAGACTCTCTCTCTCCCTCCGAGCCTAGAAATGCCGTAATCTTAGTTATTCACCCCCCAGAGGACGGTGGAGGGATAACTGTGGGTGGTGGGGAGTGGGGGCCTAATCGATCGGTGGGGGTGATCTCATTGCTTGCTTTTAAGCTGAGCTAATCAGTGCTGCTTATCAGGGGCTCTAGAGTTCAGAGGGGTTAAGGGAAACGCACGCTGCAGAGGCGGGGCAAGCGATAATCCCTAGAGAGCAGTTGGTGTTCAAAACGGTTTCGATCCCTTCGGAGATGCAAAACTTTAGTTCGTTTATTGCTCTTGGCTTAGCAGATATTCAAAGATATCTTATAAGGCAATTATGTTTTGACCTAAGTTTAAATAACCCAGTTATTGACATTGAACTTTTTATTTTGGCTGACAAATTATTAACTTTGTAATAAAAGTTTAACTCTAATCTACTCTGATTGGATGGGTTATTTATAAGTTTATTTCAATACTCATACTTACCCTTTTTGTTTCTGTAACTTTTCCATTGAATTAATTGTAAGTTGATAAATATTTTACCTTTGTTCTTATATCTCAGATTTAGTTCCTGCTTTGCCATATGCTTGCTGTTCTCTCATAATTCTGTCAGTATCTTGGTTAAATTTGCTGCTTCTTCCACTTCAACTACCCTACTCCCCGACACCTCCCTATCCACACCCTCTTCAACCCCAACCACAAGAAACAAAAACAGCCAAAAAAAATGAAAACAAGCAAAACAGCACGTTGTAAATTATTATTGTGGGTCGCACCCAGGCGCCATTAAAAAGCCGAAAGAAAATTTGAGGGGTCTTGGGGAGGTGGGGAGAGTGTGCGGTGAATACAAGTGTATAAAAGTAGCAGCACATATCGTACATAACTTTAATTACAATAACCACGCGGTATTGCGAACGAGAGAGAGAGAAGTGGGGACTTTCACCCCTGACCCCCATCTGTTTTTTTTTTCCTCTCAGCCACGCGCAGATGGCCACCCGATCACCCCTCGTATACTACCCCCAATAAATCTTTCGGCTTCAACCTTTCATATATATTCTATAAATAAATCTCATTAATAAATTCAACGTTTTAGCGCAGGAATGTCCTTCTCCAGCACCAACAACTTAACGCCCGAACAGCCGTGCATAAACATTTTTATACCCTTGCAGAGGGTATTATAATTTTGGTCAGAAGTTTGTAACGCAGTGAAGGAGACGTTTCCGACCCTATAAAGTATATATATTCTTGATCAGGATCAATAGGGGAGTCGATATAGCCATGTCCGTCTGTCCGTCTGTCCGTCCGTCCGTCTGTCCGTCTGTTTCAATACCGTCTGTTTCAATACCGTTTGCGAGCTCAGTTTAAAAGCTAGCGATCTGAAACTTTCACACTCGTCCTAAAACATGTGTACGCAGATCAAGTTTGAAAATCGCCCCGATCGGACGTCTATATCCTATGGCTCCCATAGGAACAATCGGATATATCTTGCACGAATTGATGATATTTCGCGCAGTGTAAAAGCTATTGACATGAATCTTTCCAAATCGTATTTTTTTATGCATACCTTGATCAGGGTAAAAGCGCGTGGCGATCGGACGTCTATATCCTATAGCTCCCATAGGAACAATAGGGTAAAATCGGTCCAAATTTTATGTTTTTCAGAATATTTCGCGCTGTGTAAAAGCTATTGCTATAAATTTTTTCAAATCGTATTTTTTTATGCATTCCTTCATCAAGGTAAAAGCGCGTGCTGATCGGACGTCTATATCCTATAGCTCCCATAGGAACAATCGGATATAACTTTCAAGAATGGAAGATATTTCGCGCAGTGTAAAAGCTATTAACATAAATCTTTCCAAATCTTATTTTTTTATGCATACCTTGATCAGGGTAAAAGCGCTTGGCGATCGGACGTCTATATCCTATAGCTCCCATAGGAACAATAGGGTGAAATCGGTTAAAATTTAATAAGTTTAAGGATGTGCGAAATCAGTATATAAGCAATTGACATGAATCTTTCCAAATCGTATTTTTTTATGCGTACCTTGATTAGGGTAAAAGCACGTGACGATCGGACGTCTATATCCTACAGCTCCCATAGGAACAACAGGGTGAAATCGGTCCAAATTTGTTGGTTTTCTGAATTTTTCGCGTAGTGTGTAAGCTACTGACATACATTTTTCCAAGTCTTATTTATTTACGCATAAATTGATTAGGGTAAAAGCGCTTGCCGATCGGACGTCTATTTCTTATAGCTTCCGTAGGAAAAATAGTTTTGCAGTATAAAATCAATTGACATCAAACGACGCAAATCTAGTTTATTTATGTATACCTTATTCCTTTCGCTACCTTTTCAGTTTTAGCAATTTCGTCAAAGTCTGCAAGGGTATTAAAACTTCGGCTTGCCGAAGTTAGCTTCCGTCCTCGTTTAAACTATTTTTGATAGACTCTCGTGCTCACAGACAGACCCGAAAAAAATCAGTCTATACCCGAAATGGCAACGTCATCATCGCTTTATAAATAAATCAATTGCAAATACATTTTATGTATTTTTTTCGGTAGTTGCATTTGGTAAACAGAATCTCCACGGTATTTTTATTCAAAATCACGTAAAAGGTTAATTTTTCTTTTTTCCATTTCCAATTGTTTTTTTCTCGTTGAGTTGCCTGTCATTCATTATTAAATTGCCCCACAATAAGCAAAACACCAGTCAACCACAGCACCGGCCTGATAAATAGACTCGATTATATAAGGAATTATCATGGAAATGTCTTTCGTGTAGTCTTTATAAATGTTTAGGCCCTATGCAAATTATTCAAAAAACAAGAAAGGAAAGCTAACTTCGGGCGGAGCCGAAGTTGATATACCCTTGCAGAATACTCTATAATTATATTCTCCAAAATTATTCCTATGATGCATTTCCAATCGTTCAGTTATATGGCAGCTATAGGATATAGTCGGCCGATCCTTATGAAATTTGGTAGGTCGGATTGATTGGCCAAATATAAAACCTGTAGAAAATCCTTTCT